ATGCTGTACTGCTTTGAGACCGTGGCCTGTGGAACTATTCGGAAGAGTCGCACAGGTTTCCCAAAGGCTCTAGCAGGAAAAAAAAATAAAAAGGGGGGAAACAGCAGCTCTCTGCCAGAATGAACTGCTGGCACTCAAATACTGAGATAAAAATGAGGTTTTCATCCTAACCACCATCCATGGTGAAAGCACTTGCAGGGTCGCAGTACATGGCAGAGAGGAATTTTTACGGGTGCCAGTCTGCATACAGCATTACAATTGGCATATAGGGGGAATTGACCTGTCCGATCAACTGATGCAACCGTATTTGATCATGTGAAAGACCAGGGCATGGTATAAAAAAGTGGGCATACATATAATGCAGCTGGCAATCCACAATGCCTTTGTAATTTTTAAAAAGGCAAATGCTGAGCTGAAATGCATGTTTCTATCATTTAAGTTTCAGCTCATTTCTGGGTTGCTTAAGTGGCACAGAGGGGGACCATCAGTGGAGTCTAGCAGAAGAATGGAGGCAGGTCACTTCTGCTTCAGTATTCCATCAACCCCCAAAAAGAAAACCCCCCAGAAAAGGTGCATGGTGTGTTACAAGTGGGCCATAAGATCTGAGACCAGTTATTACTGCCTTGATTGCCCCTCTCAGCCTGGCCTATGTATTGGCCACTGTTTTAAAATTTTCCACACCAAGGCCGAATAAGTAGACCAGTTTTGGGGTGTGATTTTAGTCATCTGTCTGATTTGTTACCGAATCTTGGCTTTGTCTCCCGTTTATCCTATCTTCTCTTCACTCCTTTGACCTCGGCTTGTAGCTTGACTATTCTCTGCTTGTATAGCCTGGCCATTCTAAGGACCGGTATTACAAGATTTTCTCTCTGTGTACTCTCTATTGTGGTCTGACTGTGTTTTGGTTTCGGAATCCATGACAGCTTTGCCCGGGACGCAGATGACTGGGTACTACCGCCTGATAAGTTTACGCCAAATATATACCCTTTCACAGCAAACAGTATGCACTTGTTCATAATTTGAATTGATGAGCTGCTTATTTTTAAAAATAGATGTGGCCTTTGAGAGGTAATTTGCAATCCTGAGCTGCTAAAATGAGACTTGGGCCCAGCATCCACTTTTGAAAAATATGAAAGTGGTGTGTCTCAAATGTGCCCCTTCAACATCCACATATCCCTGAAAAATGTACACATGGGAAAATTGTTGTACTAAGACAGTGATGGCGAACCTTTTTGAGCCCGAGTGCCCAAACCGCAATACATGCCAACATTTTTCTCCTTAAAGTGCCAACACGGCAATTAAACCCAAATACTGAGGTTTAAGTTTAGAAAAAACAACTCGTACTGTTGTCTGAACTAATAACTTTTGTTTTAAAAGAACACAGAGAGTTCAATGATACAAATTTTAAATAATGATATAAATAGATAAAATTAAGCTTATATTTATTAGTATCTCCAACAAATGCAATACATACACACAGTCTGCTGAATACACACACACAAGACTGCTGAATACAGAGACTGATGAATACACATACAGACAGACTGCTGAGTACACACACACACACACACAGACTGCTGAGTACACACACACACAGACTGCTGAGTACACACACACACACAGACTGCTGAGTACACACACACACACTGCTGAATAAACACACACACTGCTGAATACACACACACACAGACTGCTGAATACACACACACACAGACTGCTGAATACACACACACACAGACCGCTGAATACACACACACACAGACTGCTGAATACACACACACACAGACTGCTGAATACACACACACACAGACCGCTGAATACACACACACACAGACCGCTGAGTACAGACACACACAGACCGCTGAATACACGCAAACACAGACAGACTGCTGAATACACGCAGACACACACAGACTGCTGAATACACACATACTGCATTGAGGTGGGGGGTGCGTGTGTGTGTGAGTGTTGTATGTGAGGGGTGCTGTGTGTGTGTGTGTGTGGGGGGGGTGCTGTGTGTGTGCTATATGTGTAAGGGTGCTGCGGGGGGTAGGGGTACTGTGTGTGTGGGGTAGGGGTACTGTGTGTGGGGGGTAGGGGTACTGCTGGGAGGGTAGGGGTACTGTGTGAGAGGGGTAGGGGTACGGCTGGGAGGGTTGGGGTACTGCTGGGGAGGGTTGGGGTTACTGGCTGGGGAGGGTAGGGGTTACCGCTGGGAGGTAGGGGTTACCGCTGGGGATAAAGGCAGGGCACCCGCAAGTAGCACTGCCAGGCCAGGTTACCGCTGGGAGGGTAGGGTACTCGTGGGTATGGGGGGCAGGGTACCGGGGTTGGGGAGTTAGGGTACCCGGGGTTGGGTGGGAGGGCGAAGCTACTGGCTGGGGGAGGGTAGGGGTTACCGCTGGGGTAGGGGTACTGTGTATGGGGGGTTAGGTTACCGCTGGGGAGTGGCATGGGTTACTGCTGGGGGGTGGTAGGGGTTACCGCTGGGAGGGTAGGGTTACTGCTGGGGGTAGGGTACCTCGTTGGGAGGTTAGGGTACCAAGCTGGGGGGCAGGGGGGTACCGCTGGGAGGGTAGGGGCTACCGCTGGGAGGGCAGGGGTTAGGGGTACTGCTGGGGGGTAGGGGTACTGCTGGGGATAGGGGTACTGCTGGGGAGGGTAGGGGTTACTGCTGGGGGGTTAGGGGTTACTGCTGGGGGGGTAGGGGTACTGCTGGGGTTAGGGGTTACTGCTGGGGAGGGTAGGGGTTACTGCTGGGGGGGTATGGGTGCTGTGTCAGCGATCCCGATCCCTGGTGGTCCGGTGGTGGTAAGCACTGCAGGGGGAGGGCTCCAGGAAGCAGCTCCCCTGTCCTCCCATGCTGTGTGGAGCGTTGCCATGGTAATGCGCGGCAACGCTCCACACAGCATCGCGCGGGAGGACAGGGGAGCTGCATCACAGAGCCCTCCCCCTGCCTCCCGACCCGGAAGCAGAGTAGGCGCCTGCCGTTTCGGTCGGGCAGGCGCCTTCTCTGCATTGATGGCGAACCTGTGGCCGCGTGCCCACAGAAAGGGCCCGGCGTGCCACCTGTGGCACGCGTGCCATAGGTTCGCCATCACTGTACTAAGACAACATAGCTGAGCCACATATTAGGTGTTATACTGCCATAGCACACATAAGGATTGCAAAATATACAGTAACATCTCCAAATGTGTGTCAAAAAGGCAGAAAAAATGCAAATTGCTACTATACTTGGTACAAACTAGCAAAAAAATTATCCTATGCTAAGGTTTAAAATATGCCTTTTGAAATACCCTGGGGTGTCTACTTTAAGAAATGGTAGGCCTTTGTGAGGTTTTTTAACAGTCAAACTGCTAGAATGCCCCAAATTTAAACATGGGCCCATCAAATCTGTCTCTTAAAATTCTACTGTAAATACTTAAATGGACAGGTCTCCTATATGGCACTGTAGCTTCACGAAATAGTGCCAAAGACATTCATTGGGGGTATCATTGTACTCAGAAGACTTAGCTGAGCATACTTTTGGGGCTTTGAACTTAGTGGCACATATGAAATATACAAAATGCCCAGCAAAAATTTAATCTGTATGTATAAATGCCAAATATTATTTTTTACCACATACTTTGGCATATATTGGTGAAAATATGGGGCATGTTAAGGCACAATATGCACCATATGAAATACCCTGGAGTTTCTACTTTTACAAATGGTACGCCTTTGTGTTTTGTTTTGTTTTTGGACAGTCAAACTGCTATAATACCCCAAATTGAAACATAGGCCCATTAAATCCGTCTCTTAAAATTCTACTGTAAATACTGATATGGACAGGTCTCCTATATGGCACTGTAGCTTCACAAAATAGTGCCAAAGACATTCATTGGGGGTATCTTTGTACTCAGCAGATGTAGCTGAACACAAAATAAAGTTTTGTACAGGAATAGCACACACCAACTTTACAAAATACACATGAGAACTTCTTTATTATAAATTTGTGTGTCAAAAACTAAAGAAAACAAAATTTTACTCCAATATTTAGCAGAGATTGGCGGTGAAATGGCTACGTAAAAATTGTCAAAATAACCTTAAGTAAATAGCCTGTGATGTCTACTTTATATAAATATATACTTTTTGTGTGGCAATTTTGTTTTCTTTTATGGCTATTAAGCTTACAAGACAAACATACCATATTCTAAAATTGGTCCACATTAAAAGTTTATTTTACTCCTTGTGTTTTGTGACCTGTAATTACCAAAAAAAAACTTAAAATCCTAGACACATTATATATTCTGTAAATCGAAACTACTAAATTAATTTATTTTAATTACTTTTCTTAACCTGCAGTAATTATGCACACATTATTATTGCAAAAACTGTAAAACAAAAAAAAACACTTTTTTTTCTTCTTTTTTTGTATATTTTTTTCGTATTTCTTTATAATAAATATATTACATCAAATTAAAGCCCCTTCTGTCCCTTACAAAAACAGTATATAATATGTGTTGGTACAATAAATTAGTAAAATGCAAATTGCAGTTGAATACAAACAACAAAAAATGCAAAAATTGCTTGTGTCATTAAGTGCAAGAAAAAGCTTTTGAAGCTGTGTCCTTAAGGGGTTAAATAAAGCAATGTAAACATTGGGGACATCCAAATTACATAATTATGGCAAACATAGCCAGTCTGTGATTATAATTGAAATGAACACTATAGCGTTAGGAATCCAAACGTATTCCATTCATTATATTGGAATATAACGCTTGAAATACATTTTGATTCCTAACGTTATAATTTTTCTTTAAACAGCTGATCTGGAGAAATTCTCCAATGCAGTTATAGTCACAGACTGGCTATGTTTACCATAATTATGTAATTTGGGTTTAAAGTCTCTACATTTTGGCGTTTAGTGAATTCCCCCCTTTCTAACTATAGCGAATGATTTGGAATGTATGGTGATAGACAGCAGGTGGCGATACATTCATTAAATTACACAATACTCCCACTTCTGCAACGAGGAAGTAAACGGCAAGCTCGCTATATATAAACTCTAGTTCCCTTCCTGTCTCGACGGATTGATCATTCTTTGTAAGAAGGATCACATCTGGAAGAGTAAGTACTTTGTTCAAGTTAAGTGGTTTCCCCCTCTTTGTATTAGTGAATCATTATAAATTCCATCTCTTGACTAAAATGGGCAAACGTGGTAATCAGTTTGAATGGGGAGGTGATTTTATATTAAAAGTAAAACTTAATTTACAGCCAACAATGAAAGGATTTATTTATTAAAAATTAAACTACAAATGCTGGATGGGAAAAGTGTAACTGTGATCCTTTGGACATAATGTAATGCAGATTATAAAATCGGTTCTAAGGCATTGTTTAGAGACTATGGGGACGACCACCTAGGTGTAACGGGTGCCATCCTGCTATAACCCCACCTGTTACTTTATAAATAACCAGCAGTAAATGGTTGTATGTGTGCTCTTATCCTGAGATTTCAACAGTTGTTATAATCTCGGCTTTTCTTTCTTCCTGTACAAGCAGGCACTCGTGACTTGGCTGCGGTTGTAGGTCAATACAGGAACACCATAACAGACCGCTATGCTTGTTGTTAGTCACGTTATGGAGGAAGGGTTGCTTATTTAAATCAAATTCCTGCAAAGATCATACAGGTTACTTGGGGAGGGGAAACCTGTACTTGTTTGTCCCCCCATTTCCTGATGAATTATATGAAAAAGGGTGGTGTCTCAAAAAATAAAAATTATTCGTATTTATATAGTGCCAACTTATTATACAGCACTTTACAATATTATGAAAGGGAAAATTTAACAATAAATGAGACATTTACAAAATGATTCAGAAACAATGGGTAGATGAGGATCCTGCTCATATGTGCTTACACATCTCACTAGCAAATTAACATTTGACTATGGGTTGTGGTGTTTTAACTCCCTCTTCCCTTTTTTTATTGCCTGCCTGGGTGTCCTTCTGCTATCCAGTATGATTTCGTACTCTGGACGTCTGTCAGTTGGAGCCAAAACTAGAAATCTGTGCTTATAAGTTTGCACAGCCATTTAAAGGGAACCTATAGTCCAAAAAACAACGGCTGTTTTAGAGAGATATACTTCCTTTTGCTCCCCTTAAACCTATTATTATTATTATTATTATTATTATTATTAATTTTTTTTTTTGTTCAGTTGGGAGGGGGGAGGAACTTGTCTGGTGATGTTAGCATCCAAGTTAAAAGACCACTATAGGCACCCAGACCAGACACTTAATGAAGTGGTCTGGGTGCCAGGTCCATCTAGGTTTAACCCTGCCTGCTGTAAACATGGCAGTTTCAGAGAAACATTTGGGTTAAATCAGCCTCTAGTGGCTGTCTCATTAACAGCAGCTAGAGGCACTTCTCACTATGATTTTTCACAGTGAGAAGACGCCAGCGTCCATAGGAAGGCATTAAGAATGCTTTCCTATGGACTGACTGCGCGCCCGGCTCTTGCTGCACATGCGCATTCAGCTGATGACGTCTGGAGGAGAGTCTCCGGTGCTGGAGAATGGTAAGATTTTAACCCCTTCAGCCTGGCGGTGGGGGGACCTATTAACACTACAGTGCCAGGAAAACAAGTTTGGTTTCCTGGCACTATAGTGGTCCTTTAACATCACCTGTAATATATTGTATTAAGCTAGGGTATGTCTAAGAGTTAAGAAATGGGTGGTAACTGCCCTTTTAAGATGCTTGTACTTCTCAAACATTCCACTATAACTTCAATTCTAAATGCCACGTTGGCTGTGAATTATTTATTTATTTATTTATTTTTTGGGGGGGGTGGGGGAAAACAAGGATTTCCCCTTAAGTGCCCCAATAATGTCTACACATCAAGTGCAATTGCATGTGTCATTGGACACTCCCCTACTGGCTATGCTTTCACCCTTGATATCAGACCTGCCAAAGTTGTTGGGTCTGGACTGTTTCTTCTGTGATCTAGTTATATTACATTTATGGCTATTGACAGATGTAGCAAAAAGTTTGTCTCCTTAACAAAACTGACACCTACATATACTTGTAGAGTAAAAGCGTTCATTTTTATCTTATAAAAGGTTCACACTATGGCGTTCCTTTCATTTCCACTTTCTATGATTTTCATCATTCTAACTCTACATTATGGCTCCTCATCTGATCCAATTTATTTAAGGTAAGCTAAAACTATTAATAAATGTGTCACCTCATGTAATATTTTTAGCAGTGTTTAATATTTTTCAAACTGTCACTAATCCAAAATAGTCTTACTCTGTTACAAGGATAGAGGCTATTGGTTTCTAACTCGATATTTAATCTGCCCTAGTGTTTCATGCTTATATGTTGCTCTGCTAGCCAAGCAATTTATCCTCTGTTAGGGAGTTACAAATTGGCAAACATGAATATGGAGTCTGGAATCTTGCCCTTGATAAACAAGAATCTGCTTCCCTGACCAGTTTCTAGTGACATAGAAACAGTGGCCTAATCGAGGTGCACCTTCTCATTAAAGGTACACTCATGGCTACATAACCTCTACAGCTTGCTCCAAGAATAACATTGCTTAGAGTGCCCTGGTGCTGTTCCATGGATCTCAAAATTAAGTAACTAGGATAGGGGTAGGCAACCTTCGGCACTCCAGATTCTGTGGTCTACATCTCCCACAATGCTCTTACAGCCATCATGCTGGCAAAGCATCATGGGAGGTATAGTCCAAAACATCTGCAGTGCCAAATGTTGCCTATCCCTGAACTAGGACATGTCCCAGGTGCTACTCCCTTGGCCACCAATATTATGGTGTCTATAGCACGGGTGTCAAACACAAGGCCCGCGGGCCGAATCCGGCCCGCCAGACCTCGTCATGTGGCCCGTGTAGCTGCCGCCGGCTGCCAGCCCAGTGGCGGATCCGGGGGGGGCAACGGGGCAATTGCCCCCCCCACCCCTCCCCCCAAGAATACCGACGGTCTCCCTCTCCTGCCAGCCCAGCAATGCGCCTGCGGACCGGAGGGGAGATCACAGATCTCCCTCCCCGGTCCGCAGGCACAGTGCTGACAGCCGTCGGGGGAGGGAGGGATAGAGGACCCAGAGCTCAGGCTGCAGCTCCTCCGGGTCCTCCTCTCGCGGGAGTTGGAGCGTTGCTGCGGTTACCACGGCAACGCTCCAAATCTCGTGAGAGTGAACTGTAGCCCTGGAGCGTGGGCTAGAGTTCACTCTCCCCACTGGGACCACCAATGAATCCCCCCCACCGGACCACCAGGGAAATGTACCCCCTCCCCCCAGTAAAGGTAAGAAGGGAGGGGGGGACATAAATATATATTTTAATTAAAATTTTATTTATATATATGTATGTGTGACACAAGGGGGGGGTTGGCTGCACTCACCTGAACATGCATAAATGGGGGTGCTGCTGGGGGCCAAATAATACAAAACACAAGATCACAGGTGCCTCATCCCAGGGCCTTATTTAGCCTTGTACTGCAGAGAGCCCCAGATGGAATCTTTTCCTCAAGTAAGTGGTTAATCTCATAAGAGCAGACATTAGGCTGTTAGTGTAGGACCTGCCAAAGATGGGGTACATTGACGTTGTGGCAGGCTTATGCAATGTATGATCATATAATGTAACTAAACCCCCATTATTTTTGCCTAGATTAGGTGGTTTTAAAAAAAAAACTAATAAAATCTTTCAACATTGAAGTTGCTGTTTAGTGGATAGGTGAGTGCGCTGGATCTTGTTTTTGTTTTTTTTTTGTTTTTTTTTTTGTTTTTTTTTAATTTATTTTTTTATTATATATTAAAAGCCCCCCTACCCTTATATCACACACACTCTACACCCTCACTGCCCCCCATACACATTCACTGCCCCATACACAAAAAACAGTAATAATTGAATGCAGTGACAATAATTTATGATAATAAAGAGTGGACACATAGTCCTACAGATACAACCGGCCCTTTGAGGGTGACCAAACTGCTGATGCGGCCCCCGATGAATTTGAGTTTGACACCCCTGGTCTATAGTGTCACACTTTTTTATATTTTTTTTATTTTTTATTTATTGTTGGGAAAGTCATAATCAAAGTGTCATTTGAAACGTATGCAGATAAACTAGTAGAACCTTTAATACAAAATATAAATGTAAAATGGCATGACTGGCAGAATTGGTAAATGTGTAACTGAACAATGACCTGTTATGAAAGCTGAAACTAAATAGGAAGTTGAAGATTAGGGAAGTTACAATTAGAATACTTTATCATTTATTTCTGCTTTCTCTTCCCCTTTTTTTTTTTTATTTTTTTTTTTTTTGTTCTATGCAATTTAGGGGGATTTTATTGGGAAATTGGTTTAAATAAGGATATAATGTGACATTGCGATGTATTTTGTACTGCAGAAAAACTCATGAATGGAAGAAGCTTATTCTGACTCATCACTGGCCTGTGACTGTTTGTAAGGTATGCTATTAACAATTTAGTTGTACACCCCACCCTACCTCCTCAATGTCTGTCTAATTTAATAATGAGATGTTGGCAAAAGATCAAATTTCCTAAAATACATCTCATTGTGTAAGATTCTCTAAATCCTGAAATATTGTATAAACACTACCATTAATTTTTTTTTCTTAATATGGTGGCAGTACTACTGGGTTTTGCTCCTCCCTGTGGACAAGACATCTAACAAGTAATCTAAAAATCCTCACCCTTGCCCCATAAAATGCCATACTGCAAAACCTACCCCAGTTTCCTTTCTTGTCCCGAGAGGGAAGGACAGGAAGGAAGTGGAGGTTAGTGTGTGTTGTGGTGTGTGTGTGTTTTTTTGTTTTTTTTTTTTTGTTTTTTTTTATATTCTGGAGTATAAATAGAGCTGTGCAGGTACCCACTGACTACATGGATGCAGGTCAGAAGAGGTACGCCGTGTCACCTTCCCCCCACACGGCTCAGAGGTATTTTGAGGTAAGATTAAAGAAATCTTTACTTTAAAATATGCTCTGGAAAATTTTATAGGAAATATCAAACAATCTAAGCCTCCATTTATATTTTCTCTAGATATGTCTAGCCCAGTTTATCCTGATATGGATAAGGGGTGTGGGGGGGTGGAAACTTGCAACCTCCATGCCTAGAAAGGCTACGGTAAAATCAAAACCTCTAGTTTGCAGTGAATGTGCAACTCCTCTTCCAGATGGATCAAGAAAGGTGTGCAGTAAGTGTACTGCAAATTCTTTGGAAAGAGATAAGCAAAAAGATATGCAATCTTTCCTAACCTGGTTCCAAGAAAATCTGGCCCAGACCTTGGAGACTATTAGTCTAAAAAGGTGGAATACCCTATACAGCAAGGACATCTAAGAATCAAGAAAAGAACATCTACATGGGTCAGGATCCTCAAGTGAACCAGTGGGGTTTCCTTCGGATGAAATCCGTAAATTTATAAAGGAAGTTAAACTGACAATCCTACCGGAAGGCCCTGACAATCCTAAAAAGGTTTTTCTGTTCAACAAAACCTGGTAGATCTAATATTCAGGGAATGGAGAAACGTGCCTTTTTATATCCAGACACTTTAAGGATATCTTCAGACTGGCTGGCGAAGTTATCTGGGAAGATCTCCCGACAGTAGATGTTCAAGTGGTGCAGATTGATAAAGACCATTATCCCTATAGGGGAAACTTCAGCTTTAAAGAATCCAATGGATAAGAGCCAAAACCTCTTTTAGGCGAGCTTACCAGACAGCCGGTTTTCAATGCAGGGCTTTACTGGCAGGAGTAGCAGTTGCCAGAGCAAATGGCATTTGGTTCAACACGGTCCAAGATATTTTCTTCTGACAAAGATAAAGAGCTTAGTCACATGTTTCAGAACATGCACTTGTCTAACGAATATCTGTTGGATATGTCGGTAGAAGTTCTTAAGTGGGCATCCAGAATTATGGGATTGTCTTCGGTAGCAAGATGAGCCTTATGGTTAAGGTCATGGACGGCGGATTCTGCTTACAAATCGGTCCTTTTGTGTGCTTCCACTAGAAAAAATAAAATTTTTATTTGGGGCTCCTTTAGAAGAAATTAAGCAAATGTCAAACCAAAAAGGCGCTTTGCCAAGATAAGTTCTCCTGGAGACCAGGTTACAGGAATTACCAGTATAAATACAGGAGATCATATCAACAGAACACATTTCTTTCAAAGAAGGGATAAAAATCGGAGATTTGAACAGAGGTGATAAAAGACCCTTCAGAGATAAAGATAGACGTTTCTGACGCCAGAAGTGTGGGAGGAAGACTCAAATTATTTTTTATTTTTTTTAATATGGGGGAAAAAAAAACACAAGAAATCCTTAGGTTCTAAGTCTTATCCAGCAGGGACACAAGATTATGTTTACGGAGAAACCAAGAGCAAAATTTCTGGTATCAACTTGCCAGTCTTCAAAAAGATCACAAGCCCTATTTTCTCAGATCATGCTTCTTTTACAAAAAAGGGTGATAGAGTACCAGTAAAACAAAGATTTCGGGGAGTTTATTCAAGATTATTGCTGGTTTCAAAACCAGACCACTCTTTTCATCCCATTCTGAATTTAAAGAACATCAACCAGTTTATCCCTTATCAAAGATTTTGTATGGAATCAATCGCTTCTATTTGTCCTCTGTTACAAAGAGGCAATTTTATGGTAAAAATAGACTTGAAGGATGCTTATCTGCATGTTCGGATTGCTACCGCTTCAAGAAAATGTCTAAGACTTGCAATAAAAAGAGGAAGATCCACCATTCATTTCCAATTCTGGGCTCTGCCGTTTGGTCTGTCATCCGCTCCAAGGATATTTACAAAGATCTTGACTCCTCTGACAGCTCATTTGAGGGAATTCGGAATATCGATTATCCCATATTTGGACGACTGGCTTCTCATGGCACATACAGAAGAACAGCTGTTCAGGGACCTGCGGGTCACTATCAGATTTCTTAAAAACCACGGCTGGATCTTAAAACTAAAGTCTCTTCTCATTCCAAGAAGAGTTTCTCAAAATCCATTCGGTCTTCATGTCACTTCATCTTCCCAAACGAAAAAGGAGGAAAATCCGAAAGGCGACTTCAATCTCCAAAGGATGGAAAGTTGTTCCTTCAGACAGGCCATGGGTGTATTGGGCCTTCTAACTGCTGCTTTTCCAGCAGTCAAATGGGCAAGATCAGAGGTCAGACCTCTTCAATGGAACATCCTGACAAACTGGTCAAAAAAGTTAGATTTAGACAAATTTCTTATCCCCCTCAGGTAAAGACCCGGCTTACTTGGTGGAAAACCTCAGAGTGCCTTTCGGGAGGGTTGTCTTTTCGTCCAAAAGACTGGATAATAGTCACTAGACGCTTCAAGGACCAGTTGGGAAGCTCATTTAGGCTCAACCATGTTCCAAGGAAGATGGTCAGTCAGGGAGGCGAAAGAATCCGCAAATTTCAGGGAATTACTAGCAGTTCTTTACGCTCTGCATCACCTCAGGCCTTGGTTACAACAAAGAGCGGTGAAGATTCAATCAGTCGTACAGTAGTCTCATATCAATTCCCAAGGAGGAACCAAAGTAAAGAAGTTTTAGTCTTTGTGCAGAAATTATGGAGTGGTCACAAAGAAATCTGGCTGACATTTTGGCAGTCCAACGATCTTCCCAACGATAAGCAGAGGGAAGTGGGATCAAAAAGAATGGTCTTTGAAACCGGAAATCTTCCGAATCCTGACAAAGACTTGGAGTTCCAGAAGTAGACTTGATGACAAGAGCTTCAAACGCAAAGGTTTACAACTTCGCCTCCCTACTCAGAACAGATCAACCCAAATGGATATACGCTCTAACAATAGAGTGGAACTTCCGTCTGGCTTACGTGTTTCCACCTCTGCCTTTAATTCCAAAGGTCCTTCTCAAGATACGAACAGACAGAGCGAGAGTATTGGCAATAATCCCATATTGGCCAAACAATCTGGTTTTTGCCTGTAAAAAGATGGCCATCGCTCATTGGGTACTTCCCATATCAAACTTCCTCACTGTGAACAGGGACCTACCCTTGAAAGTTCTAGAAATATTCATGTTGACGTCTCGGCTACTACAAGGCTAATCCTTCGTAACCAAGGTTTACAAGAAGACAGAATAGCGGTCTTACTTCACGCTACTAGGAAGTCTACGTCTGTCAGGTTATACCTGCCGGTTTCGCTGAATTAAGCCACTTCCGGGTTGATGGAGCTCTGCCCCGCCCCCTTCTCTGACGCGGTCTCCTCATGCTACATAGGAAGACCGCGCCAGATTCAAATTGCTGGATTATTGAACGAGTACCTGTGAACCTCTCACCGGCTACCAATTTACATTCTAAGCTTTATCGTGTACCGTACCTGGACTGAAAACGACTACCTGCCTTCTCCACTCCTCGACCTTGGATTGTTTAACGGACTTCTGCTCCTACCCCTAAAGGACTGCTTAATTTGGATTCACCATTCCTCTGGAACTCCTACTACTTTATTTTCTTCAACCAATTGCCTCTCAGTTTGGCTGCAAATATAATCTGCCTCATTTTTACACTCTTGAAGCTAATCCTGCTGCATCTAATTCAACTCTAATTCTGCAAGCTAACTCTGCACTATCCTTAATTAGGTCTGCTTGGCTTTATGCAAAACTTCAGTGGCTTGTTTCTTCTGCAACTAACAACCTGCTAAAAGGGTTTAAAGCTACAGTAACCACTTTTGCAAGTGAATAAAAAAAAATACAAAAATAAATTGCAGTATTTAAAAGTTGCGTTCCAGTCATTTAGCATTACAACATCTAAGATACTTCAGGATTTGGTCGAAGTTTCTCCAATGGTGTAAAGAACACCAGTGCCTGGTTTTCATCCATCCATAGATAACGTTTGTTTGTGGTGGGGTTTTTTTTTTTATTTTTTTTTTTTTTCTTCTAATTAAGGATTTGGCCTCCAATGTGTTCATCAGATTTTTTTTTTATTTATTTTTTTTGGTCCATCAGCCTCAAATGACCGCCTAGATGACTGGTGTTTCCAATTTGGGATTTAGCCCTGGTCCTACAAGCTTTTGGTGTTCTTCCCTTTGAACCTATGGAAGAAGTTCCATTAAAAATTGTCTCAAAGTTTCATTTCTGGTAGCCATCACATTGGCTAAAAGAGTGGGAGAACTTCATGCTCTGTCCTCCTCGGATGAATTCACAATTTTCCACAAAGATAAGGTTGTTCTTTATCTAAGACTCTTTTCTACCTAAAGTTTTATCTTGAAAGAATATTAATCAGCCGATTGTTTTACCTTCGTTTTGTAGCGAAGCCTCATCCCCTCAAGAGCTCAAGTGGCAGAAATTGGATGTCAGAAGAGCTTTACTTGTATACCTAGCCAGAACAAAAGAATTCAGAATTTCAAATCATCTGTTCATTTTCAGGGTCACCTCAAGGGCAATGTGGCTTCCTGCGGCACCTTATCCCATTGGCTCATTCAAGCTATAGAATTGGCATACTCTACAGCAGGTCTTCAGTCTCCAGCTACACTTAAGGCCCATTCCACCCAAGCAATGGCTACCTCCATGGGCAGAAAAAGTACTTGCATATCCAGAGGTCATCTGCAAGGCAGCATGCTGGTAGTCTTTTCACTTTTATCAAGCACTATCGGCTAGACATATTCTCTGCCTCTGAAGCAGCTTTTGGTGTAAGGTGTTACAAGCTGTGGTGGCCTAAGTCCCGCCCAGATGGGGATCTTGCTATATCCCAGTAGTACTGCCACCATATGACAAATTTTTACTTACTGTAAATTATTTTCTTAATATGGTGGCAGTATGGCTTCCCTCACTCTTATTACAGCATTTTTGCAGTATATTTTTGTTTCCTTTTCTTGTCACGTACTGGGGTAGGTTTTGCAGTACGGCCCTTTATAGGGCAAGGATCTTTTTAGATCATTAATTACTTGTTAGATGCATAGGCGTGCGCAGCCTATTGCATTAGGGTGTGCACCCTAAAGCACAAGCACACGCGCATATGTGTGTGTGTGTATATATGTGTGTGTGTGTGTGTATATATGTGTATGTATACACACTGTGATGTGTGTGTGACGATGCTGGTAGTGTGCTATGTTGGTGAGGGTGTTTGTGTGTGCGCTTGTGAGGGTGCTGTATGTGTGTGAGGGTGCTGTTTGTGTGCTGTATGTGTGTGATGGTGCTGTGTTTGTGTGCTGTATATGTGTGGGTGGGTGGGTGATTGTGGGGGTACATTATTTGCTATCCTTCCCTCCCTTCTTACCTTTTGTAGGGAGGGGGGATCGTGCTGCTGCTTCCTTCCCTGGTGGTCCAGTGGAGGAGGGGATCCTTGCTGCTGTGATCCCTGGTGGTCCAGTGTAGCGTGAACTCTAGCCCCCTGTGGGGCTAGAGTTCACTCTCGCGAGATTTGAGCGTTGCCGCGGCAACGCTCATATCTCACGAGAGGAACGCGGCGGAGCTGCCGGCAATAGCTCCGCCGGTCCTCTCCTGCCTCCCTCCCTGCATGTGGGTCAGTGGGGAGGGAGGCTGAGAGCAGAGCCGGTTTTCTATCAGAAAGACATACCTCGTGAAAAAGACATACCCATGAGCCGACAGAGGAGATCCTGAGATCTCCCCTGCCGGTCTCAATATACATAGGCGTGCCGCGGGATTAGGGTGTGCCCAGGCACACCCCGTGCGCACGCCTATGGTTAGATGTCTTGTCCACAGGGAGGAGCAAAACCCAGTAGTACTGCCACCATATTAAGAAAAAAATTACGGTAAGTAAATTTTTAATTCCCTACCGTGTCTGATTTGGGGGGAACAAACTCTGCTATAAACAGTTTGGATATTTTTAGTCTAAATTTTTTTTTTTTTTTTAAATTTTTTTTTTGTTTAGAATATTTGGACTGTTGAAAATCCCTGTTTTTTGATTTAAATAAACTCTTAAGCACCATACTTACTACAGCACCCTGTAGTGGTTAGTGTCAGCAGTCCAAATATTACAAACCGTCCAGTTTGACACTTTATTGGTTGCCTACAATCCCTCTGATCTGATGTTGTACAAATGTAAGCTTCTATTTTAACTCGTCAGATTTAGAAGAGATAGCTGACTGCTCTAGTTTGAGAAGTTTGCCTTCACAAGCTGTAGCGGTTATAGTGCCAAGAGACCCAAGGTGCTGTCAAATGTTAATCTGTGAAACCATTCAGGTTGACACTTGCCTTACTGTTGAATACCAGTAATCCTTCTGGCCTAAATTCACACTAGAGCCATCAGCTGACCCCCCACCCCCCTCCCTCTCATCCAATAAATACCGTCTCGTATTAAAGCAACTGACACTTGTGAGATCTTCATAAGGATAGAATTCTGAAATTTATGAAAAGCTTTGACCTGAGAAATTATTCGAAATTCCAATACAGTAAACAGACATGCATGTTACATCACATGTAGCTGCTGATCTTTGGCAAAAGGCAGTCTTCATTAGTATTTCTATCACATGTTCCATCTTTAATAGATACTCTGTATTCTCAAGCATGTACCTGCTGAACAGTGTTGCCAAAAAGGTAGATCCTCCACTACTGTGCAACTCCCATAATGCTTTGCCAGCTGTGGATTTACAATGTGTCCACCATTGTTATATTTGTGTGAATAATTGTTTTCCTATGGAGTCTTTTGAAGTGGTGTGTGGGGGTTTTTTTTTTTGTTTTTTTTTTAATACTGATGTTTGTGGGTAGTAATGTTTTGAATACAAGGGTTTGCGTGCAGGATCATACACTGCCACATAAATGAACTGATGCGCCCTCACATACTCGCAAACACGCACGTGCACTCTCTCAAATATTGACACACCTGTACAGATGCATACACTGACACTCACACTTCCTCAGTCCTGTTAACTCTCCTGGTGTGTGTGTGTGTGTGTGTGTGCGCGCTTGAAATGCCTACCCTGGGGGGCTTGCAAGTGTTGGCCAGTTGCCACATAACTAACCCTTGCACTGCCAAGCATTAACTGTTTGACTGCAAGCAGGCAAATAGTACTCTGCAAATTATTGTTCATTTGCTTTCATGCACGTGAATGTTCATATGAATGTTGATCATGCTTGTTGCATTCAGTCTTGAACTATATTAAAACTAGTGCTTTGTGAATCATCCAAATTCTATACTTTGTGTAGGCTTCGGATATGAAAGCACGTTCTGACGAAACTCTATCATTTTCTGGTGTTCAGTGATTTAATCCTTATGGACTGTCATACCACTGATGTGATCATGGTGCCTGGAGTGACCATTTAATGTGTGCCTTTAAGGTTTTGCTTCCAGTGTTCAATCTGCTACTAAATACATTACTTCTTGTATTGTAGATGGATCAAGTGCAATGTGACAATCTTCCAGACTACTGGACTCTGCATGGATTATGGTACTATTTATCTAGGGCATACCTGAGAAATACTCCTGCTTGCTTAGCTTCCAATCTGTGAATGTCTGTGGTGGAGCATAATTGCCTAATTGGTCGTTGCATTGCCAAAAGACGACTTTCAGACTTGTGTGTCTGAAACTTTGAACGTGACTGCAGATAAAAGCCATTCAGCCCATCTAGTCTGCCCAATTTTTTTTATTTTATTTTTTTACTTTCTTTAGCTTCTTTTATCTAGGATAGTCTTATGCATGCTTAAACTCCACTGTTAACCTCTGCCACTTCAGCAGGAAGGCTATTCCATGCATCCACTACTCTCTGTAAAGTAATACTTCCTGAGTTTATTTTTAAAACTGTCCTTGTTGCGGTGGTTTTGCTTTTAAATATTATCCTTCTCTTTATGTATTTAAATATTTCTCATATCCCCTCTCTCCTTTTTCCTTCAAGCTATACATGTTCAAATCCTTTAACTTTTCCTCGTAAGTTTTTACCCTGCAAATTCCATGAACCAGTTTTGTAGCACTTCTCCGAACTCTCTCCAAAGTATCAATATCCCTCTGGAGATATGGTCTCCAGTACTGCGTACAATACTCCAGTGAGGTCACCAGTGCTCTATACAAGGGCATGAGCACTTCCCTTTTTCTACTGTGAATTCCTCTCCCTATGCAACCAAGCATTCTGCTAGCATTTCCTGCTGCCCTATTACATTGTCTGCCTACCTGTAAGTCATCAGAAATAATCACCCCTAAATCCCTTTCCTCATATGTTGAGGTTAGGACTCTATCAAATATTCTGTACTCTGCCCTTGGGCTCTTGCGTCAGAGGCATTATCTTGCACTTATATACTTTTAATGTCAGTTGCCACAACTCTGACCATTTTTCTAGTTTACTTAAATCCTTTGCTATTTGGCTTATCAACCCTGTTGCATATCTTTGTATTGGGGATCGACCGATTATCGGTTTTACCGATATTCGGTATCTTTGGCAATATCGGTATCGGCCGATTCAGATACCGATATTGCCGATAATACCTGCTAGGACCGCCAGGCTCATTACAAACCCGGCGGTCCTGGGGGGGCGGGCAGCAAGTGCTTACTCACCTCCCAGCAGCTCCCCAGTGTAACTCTCGCGAGACCTGCGCGGCATGCTGGCCACGAGACTTACACTGGGGAGCTGGAGGAGCTGCTGGGAGGTGAGTAAACGCTTGCTGCACGCCCCCCCCACAGCTCAGCCAGTGCCACTGGATCACCAGAGAATGCTATATTCCCCCCTCCCTGGCCAGGCAACAAGCAGGGAGGGGGAACAACAAAATAAATAATTAAATATAAAAAATAATAATTTTAATAAATGCCACTCACACACTCAATTGTATACACTACACAAACACTGTATATAATGCAGTGTTTGTATAGTGTGTAGTGTTTATATATAATGCACACTGCAATATATATTATACACACACTCTGGGGTGTGGAGTTTGAGATACTTTCAATACACTAGGAAACTTCCTTTTCAGCTCCAGGATGGCAGTCAGATCTCGGTTTGGGTCAAGAACCTGTTGACCCACATACAAAAGAATTATAGCTCTAAAGGTGTGGGTTTTTTTTTTTTTCTTCAATAATTCATACAGTTGCTGGTTTTTAAACCTCTGCACAGACTGAATGGTGTGACTGGGACCTTTACATAGCAAAGAATTTATAGAGCAAGAGATCTGACTGTCCTTTGTCATTAGAAACGAGCATGGCTGAAAAGACTGCCTCTTAAAGGGACACTGTACCCAGACCACTTTAGCTCGCTGAAATGGTCTTGGTACACTAGTATCCCTAATGCACTTAGTGCTGCAATGTAAAACATTACAGTTCCAGAGGAACTGCAATGATTACATTGCATCATGAAGTCTGGCTCCAGTGGCTGTCTACTAGACATTCACTGGAGGCCCTTCCTGGATGTCAACAAACTCAGTTCAACGGTGGCTGGATGTCCTTGTGCTTTGCATGAGGACATCCAGCATAAGCAATTTCATATGGGAGACCTAACATGCATTCTGCATGCACACTAGTGCCTTCTTTTTGACTGACATCAGAAGAGGCAGAGCCTCATGCTTCATGTGTGGGCCTCCTTCGCCGCCAGATATTTACCATATCTAGTATTTGACTTGCATCTCTTTCTTATCTTTAGGCCAGACAAGTCGCAAATGTGCAATAAATCCTGGCCCTTTGATTATTCTGAAATAAAGGTATGTGTGCATTATATTCAGAACATCAATATTTATTCCTTTGCTATTTAATACATTAGTTGGATAAGCTTTTGTCTGTTTGCAGACATTCAGACTGGGGAAAAAAATCATTTTTTGCTGTAGAAAAGGGAGAAACAAATGGGGTGTTTTTATGGTTTTGTTTAAAACCTGAAGGGACAGTAATTTCTCATCTTTGCCTAAATTAAAAGTTGTGGGTGAGGGGAGATAGTGAGAGAATGGGTACAAATAGGCGTTAAAAGGGCTTCAGCAGCAAAATAGCTTGCCATTTGTTTTTATTTATATTTTGTTTTTAAATGCAGGACATCATGACAGAGATGAACAAGTGGTGGCCTGATGTTCTTCATCCCAACAGAACACAACTCTGGTAAACTGACTCTCATCCATACAACCTAGTGCAACAGTACCCATACATGGGTAACAACTCTATATATATTGTTTTTGGCATGAGGGCAAAATATCCAAACCACATTGGTAGTCCCAGCTGGTAAACCTATTAATAAACTAAAATAATGTAAAGTAAAGACACTCCAAAACAAAGTTCACAAAAATGAAAGTCCTAATAACACCCCACTATTATTGGCAAAGAAACATAAGAGAAGGCTTTATTCACTCTGTTCTACAGGGTTAGGGACTAATATGCATATATCTATGGAGTGTAAGATAATCTGAAGGACATATTTGGAAAAGTAGACTAACCACAGTATAGAACAAGTAAGGCTGGAGTAACATATTCTCTCATATGTATGTATTACTGCTATGGCACTGAGAAATATTGCCTCACAGCTGTTAAAATGAAACATACCTCGCTTAACACCTAAAACAAAGACCTCATTAATACTGTCATACCTGCCAGGTTTCAATATCGTTAAATAGGCTTAGAGGACTATGTAACTAGAAAATACCTTGGCTCAAGACAGTCGCCCTTAGTCTACAACTCCCGATTTTGACTAATCACAGTTCTCTACCTAGATAGGATACAAGAAAGGATGTTTTAACCTTATCGTTAAGTCATGGTGGTGATGTGTAATGAGAATAAGAAAAATAAAACTTTTTTTTGTGCCAAGGCTCACCTTTGCCAGAGGCCAAATGTGTTTAAAATTTCCATGATATTTAAAGTAACACTAGTGGTTTTGTGTGGGGTTTTTATCCCTCTCTCCCTCTCTCCCTCTCTCCCTCTCTCCCTCTCTCCCTCTCTTACACCGAAAATTGGTCAAATCTGCTGCAAATTACACATGCTGTCTTGGTGCATGTGGAGGCTGATGTTAAGAGTGACCCAATCTGTGGCTACTTTCAGCAGAATCAAAACAAGACATGTCTTCTACCTGGCTGGTACCCCGCTAGCATGGCTTCCCAGGCCGTGGTTGCAGGGGCCACATAGCACGGTTACTGGGTTGCAGGGGCCACAGTGCTGAGCGTGTGTTTATGGCACCACCGGACCAAGCACCTGATTGTCAAGTTTGGCATGGTGGGCAGGATCCTTGCTTGGTGAAAACAGAGGGTGAAGAGCAGGAGAATGGGGCTATGGCAAGAGGGACAGCAGTTGCACCAATCTGCGCAGGGTCCACAGCCACAAGCTCTGCAACCGGACAGTGTGCTCAGCCGCACCATCTGTAGACACCAAGAACGATAAGATCTGCCTCAAGCCGGGCTAGACAGGGTTAACCTGGCATGCATTGACTGAGAGCCACTGACAGCCCCGGGTACAGCTCTTGGCTGGATGAGGAGCACAGTCCTCTGGGGGCACATGTCTGTGAATGGATTGGCTAACATCTGCCCTAGCAGAACTCCCTGAGCTGTAAATCAAGCTTGCTTGATGTCATATAATATAATTTTTTAAATCCTTTGGAGAAGTCATTTTTGGGTTTCGGACCAGAATTTTCATCTCTGTGCATCCCTAGCTATTACCCCACTAACCACAAGATATATCCCTGTATATTCTGTTCTTGCAAGTATTGATCCAATTGCTGTATTGACTCTGATAAAACTCTTTCAGGCAGAGAATTCCACATCCTTATAGTTCTTATTGTAATTTTTTTTAATTTTATTTATTTGCCTTGGGACAGGGTCACTCATTTAGGCTTGAAGAAAGGAGATTTAGTCTGTGTATAGCCCTGTTTATGAATAGACGTCCAGACTTTTTTTTTTTTTGGCCACAAATATACTTATAATATCATATACCCTTTGAGGGGGAAAAATCTCTTACCTTTCTTAATAACTAAAATGCTCAATTCCTTTTAAATGTGTAGCCTGTCTGCACTTTTTCTAGTGCCATGATCTCCTTTAGAGCAGGTGCCCAAAATTGCACAGCATATTCAAGGTGTAGTTTTAAGTTACTTGTAAAGAGGCAAAATTACATTTTCCTAGCCTTCATTAAAGGGACACTATAGTCACCTGAACAACTTTAGCTTAATGAAGCAGTTACATAGAAACATAGACTGTGACGGCAGATAATCATTTGGCCCATCTAGTCTGCCAAACTTTCTAAATTTTTGGTGTATAGAACATGCCCCAGCAGCCTCACTGCAATCCTCTGCCATTTAGGAGTTAAATCCCTTTGTTTATGAACCCTAGTCACACCTCCCTGCATGTGACTTGCACAGTCTTCCATAAACACTCCTGTAAAGAGAGCCCTATTTAGGCTTTCTTTACTGCAAGTTCTGTTTAATTAAGATTTTCTTATCCCCTGCTATGTTAATAGCTTGCTAGACCCTGCAAGATCCTCCTGTGTGTGATTAAAGTTCAATTTAGAGATTGAGATACAATTATTTAAGGTAAATGACATCTGTCAGAAAGTGAAACCCTTTTTTTTTTTTTTCATGCAGGCTCTGTCAATCATATCCAGGGGAGGTGTGGCTAGGGCTGCATAAACAGAAACAAAGTGATTTAACTCCTAAATGGCAGTGAAATTGCAGGGAATGATCTATACCAGGGATGGGCAACCTTCGGCACTCCAAATGTTGTGGACTACATCCCCCACAATGCTTACACCCATAATTCTGGCAAAGCATCATGGGAGGTGTAGTCCAAAACATCTGCAGTGCCAAAGGTTGCTTATGACTGATCTATACACTAAAACTGCTTTATTTAGCTAAAGTAATTTAGGTGACTATAGTGTTCCTTTCACTAACCCATCTGTTTCCACTTTCTCTTATTTTTATTAGAATTTATGTACTTGAGAATTTTTAAAGTTGGTTTTGCTATCAATTTCTCATTTTATAGTGTATGAGCCATTCTAACTGCCTTTTTGGATGCATTGGCTTTCTTATCTTGTATAGGATGCCTTTCTCAGATTTAATTGCACTCTTCATAAAGTATACTTTAACAAACTATTTGTAGAGAAAGCTGTATTCAGATTAGCTTATTTTACTATATGGCATCAGAGCAATATTGAGGATGCTTGCCTAATTTCAGATTTGTTTACTACAAACCATTGTTTTCAATTTAGGAAACATGAATGGCAGAAGCATGGAACCTGTGCTGCATCTCTGGAGGCTCTGAACAGCCAACACAAATATTTCAGTAAAGCTATAGATATGTATAAAATGACTGATCTTAACAGGTAATGCATAAACAAACTTCACCTTTGGCTGAGTCTATTTGGGGGCATTCGTGTTAACAGTCATTGTGTAACATTGACAAGGAAACTGCAATTTTAAGCCTAAATATTGAAATTTGGATTTTTCTATTCTCTTAGTGAATATACCCTAAAATCTTCTGTCAAAACAGATTTACTTTTTTTTGTCTGTTTACTTCTGGTGTGTATCATAACATGAGCTTTCAGGGCACATGATGATACCAGCACATCACTAGTAATGCCATTTCTTGAATAACCCTAGTGTAAAATTCCAATGCAGCCAACAATTGAAATTCGCAAAGTCCACTCTGCTTCCCGATTCCCCTCTCTTCCCCTTAATACAGCTTTATGTATTTGTAGTCTTATGAATTGCAGGCTTGTATGATTTTTTTTTTTTTTTGTTTAATTAAAACTTATATTGTGGTCTAAGCAAAGGAGCTCTCTGCCTGTGTCTCGCTTGCTTAATGGTCAGGCCCCATCCCCCTAGGTTTTGCTCTATTCGTATAACAGCATTAACTTATTTAAAACATTTTTGTTTGAATATCTCTTAAAGAAACAAAACTTACAAAGGAGATTTAATTATAATAAAACTCCTTTATCAAAATTCCATATGACTTCATTGTATAGGGTGTTTGTGTTTTTTTTTTTTTTTGTTTTTTTTTTAAGGCAGCCTTAAGCTCTGCCACCACAGTGAACAATGGATTGGTCTCAGATAAAGGGGTAAATGACATGAAACAAAGGAAAACACAAATTTAAGAAAATGCTATAATTCAATATCCCTTGGCAGTCAGAGGGGAAAAGCTGTAAACGTCTCTATATAGTACATATTCTAGCATTGTCTGACCTTTATATCTTCCTTACTGACACTAATTTTTCTCATAGTGCTCTTCAAAAGTCTGGCATAGTGCCATCAACAAAGTATTACCAGGTACATTTTTAGTTTTCAGATGGAAATTGAAGGTGACTGTCATATTTATTTATGTATTTTTCTCCCTGTTTAATCTCCTAATTTTGATCTCTGCTACTAGTTTTCTCCTCTGTGTTGTCATGAAGCCTCAACACTTTTATCTGAGATCATAATAGAAGCTGAAAATTTTGCTGGCTTTTGGTTTAATCTTGCTCTTTCTCTGCAACCCTGCACATGCCCATTAAGGGTTGCTTACTGGGAGAGTAACTCCAAACAATCCTGGACAGTTGTCATATTATGGAGGTTATTAAGAAAATCGCACATTTCACATAAAAGTGGCAGTCAATTTATAAAGTATGACAAATTGTCTTTTGCAAATGGAACACCTGTTGCCTATGTACCAGGTTTAAAAGCTTAGCAGTCTGCTAAATCCCTCCAATAGATGATGTAATAGTTAATTTACTTTTTTTTATTTATTTTTTTTAGATGAAAGATATTACAAATGCCCTTGTAGATATCTATGGAGTGGTGCCAAAAATCCAATGCCTCCTTCCACAGCAGGTAATGCTTTCAATTATCTTTAAAATCTAGCTTTCTTTCAAAGTCACTGTAAAAATAAGTAACATAGAATTCTGTTGTACTTCTAGGGTGAAGATGCGCAAACACTTGGACAAATTGAATTTTGCTTCACAAAAGAATTTCAGATTAGAAACTGCACAGATAAAAGCGATGCGCTTCACTTCTATGAGTATCAAACCAATAAAGAGCTTCAGGTTTGCGACCAAGAGTTAAACACTCTTTATCCTCCCATAAAGTGTCTGGAAGACAGTCCATAATGGCCACCAAAAGATTAGTTCCCACTTCCAGCTATGGATCGATTGTCTAAGGACTGGGGTTAAAAAGCAGGCTATTGGCGAACAATCTCTTTACATAGTTACATAGCTGAAAAGAGACTTGCATCCATGTTCAGCCTTCCTCACATTTGTTTTTTGCTGTTGATCCAAAAGATTCTTCCTTAGATATTGTTTGAATGATTTCCTTTATCTCATGTACAGAAAATAATTACATTTGTTACATAACATGTTAATGCAAACATTTCCTACTAACTTAATACAGAATCTATTCACTACACATTATACATGTAAATCTATTCAAACTTCTAGAACTCTCACTTAAATGAGACTGTTCAACTTCACAAATCTCCTACCATAGGCATCAAATCCTCCTGGACAAATTGCCACTCCCATGTTGGTTAACTTAAAGGACCACTATAGTGCCCTGAGGGTGCCCCCACCCTCAGGGACCTCCTCCCGCTGGGCTCTGGGGAGAGGAAGGGGTTAAATACTCTTTCTCCAGCGCCAGGCAGGGAGCTCTTCGGCTGCATGCGCGGCAGGAGCTGCGCGCGCATTCAGCCAGTCTCAGGAAAGCATTCATAATGCTTTCCTATGGATGCTGGCATCTCCTCACTGATTTTCAGTGAGAAGCACGCAAACGCCTCTAGCGGCTGTCAATGAGACAGCCACTAGAGGCTGGATTAACGGATTTATTAACATAGCAGTTAATGGGTTAACCCGAGCTGGACCAGGCACCCAGACCACTCCATTAAGCTGAAGTGGTCTGGGTGCCTAGAGTGGTCCTTTAAGTGATAAGTGTCTGGAATGGATTTTAAATGCCTTTGAATTCCTAACCATTTCTCATTTTAGTGGATAACCTTGTCAACCTGTCTCCCTATTAACTGGCTTCCTCTGGTCTTATACATTCTAGTTTTTGTGAATTTCTGAATTTTGGAAAGCCTGAGTCGTGCATGGAAATCTAGTAGGATAGTTTTTCTACTTATTTTCACATAACTTGTTACTTGTGGAGAACTGAGTTACAACATAAGTTTAGTGCATAACCTTGAATCACACTGAAATGAGACATTTCAATGAATCCAGGAGACTTGAATGATAAACATTTGCTTTCTCACTAGAGGAATGTTCTTCAGTCACACAGTGGCTGAAACTTTAAAAATACACACTACTTTCAGACCAAACAAGTAAAGTCCATTCCAGGGATTACTAGTTCTTTAGTCTTCTCGCCATGATGTGTATGATCTGTCTTTTTGGCTGTTGTGGTATTCATGTAAATTCTCAGCACTCCACAGCAAGAACACTGTAGACTTTATGTTTTGTATAATGTGATCATGTAACATGTTTGAATGTAATGCTTGACTATTTCTCTTGCATAAAATAAAGTTTAGCCTGCTAACTGGTTTGTGTATGTAGTGTGACCTGGCCTATAAATACCGACTTCCCCCTTCATCTGGTTTGATACTGACCTGGTTCAGTACAGAATCCTCTATTTCTGGTTCAAATTCGTCAACACAAACTGCCTAAACTCTGCTCCATGTATAATGTTTAGTAATTAAAATGGTGGTCAATCTTCATGCAAGGTAACATTTTCAAGTCCCCATGAGAGATGCAGGACATAACACCAGTGTTTAGATTGGGCCTCACTTGGCCTTCCACTTCATATGGCCCTCAGTGAGCTACCAGCTGCCACCACCTTTTTAGGACGTGTGTTGTAATCAGTGTAACATGTCATAATCTAACAGTCCAGTCATTCAGTCTGGGCCTCTTGTGCGTCAAGTTATAAACACTTTATGAAATGGAGCAGGTCTGCCATTTTGCATCACTGTGTAAATGGCAACTGCTCCATAGCTCAACAATTAACCCATGTCCTAGAATTTCATATACGTGAGAATTCTCATGCTTAAACAGCCACCCCACTAGCCACAAATCGCAATGACCTTTCTCTGCCTTCTTGTATACCTTGACACATGGACCTCACTAAGCATTCACTACCTATGCTTCATACTGCCTTTGGTGTAACGGACTGCTTTGCCCACAAGGTTATAAACCGTTTAGGCGATATTCCCCTTTCAGATGCACAGACCGCTACTGCAATCACCAATCTCCCGAACTGCAAACTACAAGAATTCTCCAACTCCCGAACAGGAAACTCTCGAATACAGGAAACAGCTGAACAGGAAAAACCATACGAAAGGTTTACACTCCTGGCAGTCAGCATTCAATCCAATTCCCCTAATAACGAGACAACACTTCGTTTGAGGGTTAAGCAGAATCTGCCAGAGCTGTGGGTTTATTGTTCTTATGTACACATTCTTACACATTAGTACCACCCACAGGGTTTAAAAAAAAAATTAAACATGTACAATACACTCCCACACAAAATCATCCCCTCTGCCTGTGATACAATTACCTTACACAATGGGTAATGTAATTATCACAGCCAGAGAAATAGTTTTTCCACATTATTTATAACTTGAAGTATGCATCACATTCACATAAACGTACATTTTCAGAATCAGCATACTCCAAATACAAACATACGTCAAAATCATCCAAACTGGTTCAAAAGATAGATCGTAATCCTTTGTGACCAAATGAAGCATGGCTTTTCTGCCCAAAACCAGTTCCACAGAGTCTTCTATCCTGGAGATAATTGGGAAGTCATCCAATTATCTCCAAAGACAGAGGCAAAACTCCATTGAACACATGGCAGCAAAAGACAATAAAACACATAAAAACATATAACTGTGCAGCCATTGCACAAAACGGGTACATTCAACATATCCCCAGATAGTTCAGATCTGAGCGCACATTATTACTGAATGGCGCTCAGAGCACACACATACAGCTCAATTGCCATGGAGCCAAAGTCTTTCCCATAGTCTTTCATTATACGAATGGGCTCCATGGCATAGCTATCTGGGGTATCACCGCTCAAACAGGGCAAGCACCGAATGACCCGGCTTTCGTGTCTTCGCAGGGGAAAATATTCTATAGGCAGCAGGCGGGGAACCAGGCTTCTCCAGTGCATAGTGGCGAGGTTGGTTCCGCCACAGGTGGGCTTACAGCTACAACCTACATTTGGTCTTCCTGCCTTGTGGGGTTTATATATTGCCCTAGATACATTTAAATAAAACACCTGTAACTTGGTTCCCAACACCATAAAACTACTTGGATACAACCTTCAATGTTTTCAAAAAATTCTTTGAGAATTGGCACTGCTTGTGCACTCTGGTGAAAAAACGTTTTTCCCTCCCTTTTTTTTTTTTTTTTTCTCCCCTCTCGTTGTTTCTATTCCCCTCCTTGTGGGTGCTGCTGCTGAGCTAATTAGGGGGAGTGCCCCTTAATTTCCACCTGTGTGGGATTTGTATTGCCAATATAAACCCACTACTGACTCACAGAGCTTGCTCACTGGAGTTTGCTTGAAAGTAGCCAATTTCAAGTAGTCTCTTTTAAGTAGGAGTTAAAACAGGAGTTGAAACTACAAGGGAGTTTAAATCAAGAGGGTTAATATTGTTTTTGCTCCCTTGTGTTTTTTGTAACTGGAGATGAGTGCTAGCAAGATTGTGAGTTTAACTCAGTGCACATCATGCCCCATGTATGCATGCCTGGATGATTCTATCCAGGGTCCATACCTCTGTGGTGGGTGTGAGCGAGTGGCATTTCTGGAAGCTCAGATTAGAGATCTGGAGAGGCAAATTGTAACACTGAGAGAGATTGACAATCTTGAGAGGAGTCTGCTGCTCACTGAGCAGAGTTTAGTGGGGACAGGTAGTGGAGAGGGAGGAGATACGACAGATGGGGAACGTAGCTGGGTGACAGTGGGGCGAGGAAGCGGGGGGGAGGGAAGAGAAAAGGTTTAGCTAGTCCTGATCTCATGCAGCCTAACAGATTTGCCCGTTTGAGTGAAGAAGTTGGGAGCATCAGCTCAGGAGTAGCTGTACTGCAGGAAGCTGTTCCTGCTAACAGCCGTGGAAACAGCCGCTCTAGTACGGGTGGGGTTGAGAGGGTAAGGATGTCTAGACAGGTTGTGGTGGTAGGGGACTCTATTATTAAGAGAGTAGATAGAGTAATCTGCCACTCTGATCGACTCAACCGGACAGTTTGCTGTCTCCCGGGTGCTCGGGTCTGGCATGTTGCCGACAGAGTGGAGGGATTATTGGGAGGGGCTGGAGATGACCCAGCTGCCATGGTCCATATTGGTACCAATGACAAAGTCAGAGGAAAATGGAAGGTCCTAAAGAATGAGTTCAGGGAACTAGGAAGTAAGCTAAAGAAAAGGACCTCCAAGGTAATTTTTTCAGAAATATTACCTGTGCCGCGCGCTACAGCAGAAAGGCAGCGGGAGATTAGAGAGGTCAATGCGTAGCTAAAGTCTTGGTGCAGGAAAGAGGGTTTTGGGTTTTTAGAGCACTGGGCTGATTTTGCGCTTGGGTACAACCTGATGGATTGCACCTAAACGGAAGAGGGTCTGCTGCGCTGGGGGATAGGATGGCTAGAAGGTTGGAGGAGATTTTAAACTAGTGGTAGGGGGGAGGGTCAAAGCAATCTAGACAATGGAGATAGGATGGGGTGGAGATGGGGGGAGGGGAAAGCTCAGAACAGAGGAGGTATGTAATATTGATAATTCACAAAAAGTACAAAAGACTCATGATATTAAATGTATGCTTACTAATGCAAGGAGCCTATATAACAAAATGGGGGAACTAGAGGCAATAGCATACACTAAACAATATGATATAATAGGCATAACAGAAACATGGTGGGATGAGACACATGACTGGGCAGTTAATTTAAATGGGTACACGTTATTTAGGAAGGATAGGAAAAACAAGAAGGGTGGTGGGGTATGTTTATATGTCAACCATGAGTTAAAATCAAATCTTAGGCATGTGGAGTGTGACGAGGAAAAGGTGGAGGCTTTATGGGTAGATATCTGCTTGGGGCAAAGAAAGGGAAATCAATTATTTGTTGGGATATGTTATAAACCACCTAGTGTAAATATTATTGAGGAAGCTGTTAGAGCAAATTGAGAAAGCTGCAAATCGAGGTAACACGTTAATTATTGGAGATTTTAATTATCCAGACATAAATTGGGAAAGAGGGACTAGTACTTCAGCAAGGGGCATCAGGTTTTTGAATGTGTTAAATTACACCTTTGTCACAACTGGTACAAGCACCAACTAGAAAGGATGCTTGTCTGGATCTTGTCATAACAAACAATGTTGATCTTTTAACCAACATTCAAGTAGGGGAGCATTTGGGAAATAGTGATCACAATATGGTAAATTTTGAAATAAACTCAAAAAAGCAAAAGCAAGTGGGGTATACTAAAACATATAATTTTAAAAAAGCCAATTTCAATAAGATTAGGGCAGCTCTACAACATATCGACTGGCACAAACTCCTTAGTGATAAAAACACTGAGGATAAATGGAAACTATTCAAACAAATATTAGAAAGGTACATTTCTCAGTATGTACCATTGGGTAATAAATATAAAAGAAACAAATTAAAACCAATGTGGCTTAGTAGAGAAGTAAAACAAGAGATTAAAAATAAGAAAAGGGCATTTAAAGCATTTAAATCAGACAAATCAAAGGCATCCTATTTAAGATATAAGGAAGCCAATAACTCTTGCAAAAAGGCAATTAAAGTGGCTAAACTAGAAAATGAGAAATTGGTAGCTAAAGAATGCAAAACCAACCCCAAATTTTTTTTCAAGTACATCAATTCTAAAAAAACAAAAAATGAAATGTAGGTACATTTGAAACAGAGTTGGGTTTATTAGCTAATGAAGACCAGGAAAAAGCAGACATTTTAAATAACTATTTTTCTTCAGTATATATTAATGAGGATCCTATGGCAAGAGATATGCAAATGATTGCTGCAAAAAACTTGCAAATAACTTGTGATTGGATAACTCGAGACAAGGTGCTACAGCTATTAAAGAAAATTAATGTAAATAAAGCCCCGGGGCCTGATGTTATTCACCCATGAGTACTTAAGGAGCTAAGTGGGGAAATAAGCGAACCTATGTATTTAATTTTTCAAGATTCTTTTGTTTCAGGTGTTGTACCGGAGGATTGGAGGAAGGCAGATGTTTTTCCTATATTTAAAAAGGGCTCAAAATCCTTGCCTGGAAATTATAGACCTGTGAGCTTAACTTCTGTAACTGGGAAAATATTTGAAGGGCTATTAAGGGATAATATTCAGGAATTCATTGGGAAGAACTTTGTTATTAGCAATAATCAGCATGGTTTTATGAAACATAGGTCATGTCAAACTAACCTAATTGCATTCTACGAAGAAGTAAGTAGAAGTATAGATCAGGGTGTTACAGTGGATGTGATCTACTTGGATTTTGCCAAGGCATTTGATACGGGTCCTCACAATAGGTTAGTCTTCAAACTAAAAAATTGAAAGTCATGTATCAGTGTTTGCAGATGACACAAAACTTTGTAAAATAATAAAATGTGAGCAGGATATTGCTTTGCTGCAGAGAGATTTGGATAGATTAGGGGACTGGGCACTAAAATGGCAGATGAAATTTAACATAGAGAAATGCAAAGTTATGCACTTCGGGATTAAGAATGCACAAGCAACTTACACACTAAATGGTAGTGAATTAGGGATAACCACACACGAGAAGGATTTGGGAATTGTTATAGACAACAAATTAGGCAGCAATATGCAATGTCAATCTGCAGTTGCTAAGGCCAGTAAGATTTTGTCATGTATAAATAGGGGCATAAATTCTCGGGAAAAATATAATTTTTCCTCTTTATAAATTGCTGGTAAGACCACACCTTGAATATGCTGTGCAATTTTGGGCGCCTGTTCTAAAGAAGGATATCATGGCACTGGAGAGGGTCCAGAGACAAGCTACAAAATTGATAAAAGGAATGGAGCATTTTAGTTATGAAGAAAGGTTAAAAAAAATAAATCTGTTTAGTTTGGAAAAATGGCGCCTGAAAGGGGATATGATAACTTTATACAAATATATTCGGGGAAGTACAAACCTTTATCTGGAAATCTATTTGTAAACAGGGCTATACATAGGACACGAGGTCACACATTTAGGCTGGAAAAAAGGAGATTTCATCTAAGGCAAACAAAAGGTTTTTTTACAGTAAGAACAATAAGGATATGGAATTCTCTGCCTGAAGAGGTGGTTTTGTCAGAGTCCATACAGATATTTAAACTGGATAAATACTAGTATTCCTAGTTTGTGTCAAAATTGGAAGCGCTTCAGATCAGGTTTTTTTGCCTTCTTTTGGATCAACAACAACAACATTTGTGAGGAAGGCTGAACTTGATGGACGCAAGTCTCCTTTCAGCTATGTAACTATGTAACTATGTCATTGATGGGGGAGATATCTGCATACACCAGATGCATCCCTCAACCGGAGAGGGCATTGAGGCAGGCATTTAAAGTATTGGTTACATAATGTCAAAGTGTTAACTTTTTTGCCCTCTTTTTACAGACCTACCTGAACAGTTTCGGCACACAACTGACTTACACCATTACAACTAACTCTAACTGTCCCTGAAAATATATATATACTCTATCTTTTAAAAATGTATTTTGGAAGTGCAGCAGTGAATACACTGCATGATAATGACACAGACCTAAGTGTACTTTGATAAGTGACTTTGAAAGAGGGCATAAAAGTCAAAGTATGCCGCATTTGTCCTTTGTGGGGGTGTGACGAGACCAATCTCGCCACATTGCATTGGAGAAGCCTGGTTGCTCGCCTGCTGCCTTTGGACTATGGCCCCTTTTAAAAGACTTTATTTTTGCATGCAGAAAAGCTGTATTCGTGCTTTTCTGCCGGTTGTTCGGTAGTTTCAATCTACCGAACAACCGTACGAATGACTGGACCACCTGGGAGCTGGAGTGTGCCGGCAATTAACCTCCCTGAAGCTGCGGTTAACCGCAGCTTAATTGATGAACGCTGGGTGGCCGCCGTTCGTATCCCGAACACGAGGTCGCGGCCATTTTAAACCATACGAATGAACAGCGGTGTTCGCCTCTATTTTTATGGAACTAAAATCGGACACAGTTTTGCGCGAACACCGCTGAAGCCGCCGACCTCCCTTCTTGTTCGGTGAAAGCACACGAATGACCCGGTGTTCGGTATTTTTGTGTGAATATCTTATACCCCAGATAGGAATCCCATGGAGCCCATTCGTATGAAACTGACTGTAAAGACTTTGGCTCCATGGCGATTGAACTGTATTCGTGTAGTCTGAGTGCCATTCACCTAATAATGTGCACTCAGACCTGAGCTATCTGGGGATGTGTTACATGCCTGTGTTTAATGTAGTAAATGTTACTTTGTGCATTTTAAAGTATAATGCTGTTTTGTGTTCCCACGTGTGTAATGGAGTTTTGCCTTTGTCTTGGGAGATAATTGAGTTACTTCCCAATTATCTCCCAGGGCAGAGGGGAGGAAGCCAGGATGCATTGTGGGAATATACTGTGACTGTGTGTCCTTTTTGTATACTTGTCTGTCCCTTGTCACAGTCTCCCATTTGGTCCCCTAGGGGAGTGTCCACCAGGTGGGAGACCTGCATAAAAGCTGGGCAGGTAGCCCTCATTAAACAGACCACTGCTTGACCCTCAACACGGAGCCTTGTCTCGTCTTTGGGGGGATTTACTGTATGCTGCTAAGGACTGATTGCCAGGAGTGTAAGCCGCTTGGAAGCTTTTCCTGTTCGCCTGCTAGCAGCTATTCGTATGGTTCCTGTTCGTTTATTTGAAGTGCTACCTTATTCCCTTGTATGCCGTTCGGGAGTTTGGAGCATTCACTTATTGGCGGTTCGTGAGTTTTGGTGATTATTCAGTAGCTGTGCCTGTCTCTGAAAAGGGGATTATCGTCTAAGCGGTTTTTTCCCCTTTTGTGCAAAACGGTCCGTTACAATTGGTGGCAAGCGGTGGGATCGTTCCTACAACCAGAAGGACAGCTACAGGAGACACCATTTCTTTGGATTTTACAATTTGAGGGCAACGCATGTCCCAGTACAGCGACCCTGACAGCACCAGCATGGAACCAGCAGTGGAGTATGACGAGGGTGCCATGGATGACCGAGATGCAGTCCGTAAAGGCATCTGGTACCAGGCACTGGGTATTGTGGAGTACCAGCGGGGCAAGAGACTCCCCAAGGAAGACCAGCGGTTGCAGAAGCGAGTAGCCCTGCGGATGCCCTTCCTGGGAGAGCAGCCCCTGGAGGAATGGGTGAGGAAATTGGAACACCTAGTATGGCAGGAGTTGTGGCTAGAAGATGCCTACCAGGCGCTCTGGTGGTATGGGGCACAGTACCTACCCTGGACAGCCGAGCATGACAAGCCAGAGGGAGAGGAGTTTGATGGTCCTGGCTTGTTATGGGAGTCGTTTTCAGAGCTCGAATTTGGGAGCCCTACACAAGCCCGGTTCAGTGATCTCTGGGAGTGGAGGGAGAGCAGGTATGACTGGGACGACGCTCACAAAATTGAGCAAGACCTGGTCCACCTGGTAACCCGGGAGATGGAGCTAGAACAGGGCTACCAGCAGCTGTTTCAATACAGCGAGAAGGCTCAGCAGGAGAGCAGCATGACAGACCCAGAGCCAGACCCATTCAGCTGGGAAGACATTGTGGATATTTTCTGGGAAGAACCCCAGGTGGCCGGTAGAGATGGGACCGAGGTCTCTCCACCGGTCCTGCAGGGAATTGGGAGCCCAGTCTCCATTCCCCAGCGGGAGATATTGCAGGGAATTGGGAGCCTGAGCTCCATTCCCCAGCGGCAGGCTGAGTTACAGGGGACAGAGATAGTCGCTCCTGTCCCCCAGCAGCAGAATGAATTGCAGGGAATTGGGAGCCCGAGCTCCATTCCCCAGCGGGAGAAATTGCAGGGAATTGGGAGCCCGAGCTCCATTCCCCAGCGGGAGATATTGCAGGGAATTGGGAGCCTGAGCTCCATTCCCCAGCGGCAGGCTGAGTTACAGGGGGCAGAGGTAGTTGTTCCTGCCCCCCAGCAGCAGAGTGATATGCCGGGAAGGCAGTGTAAAGTGCAGGGAGAGGAGAACAGCGTCCTCCCTCCCCAGCGGCAGGCTGAGATACAGGGGGCAGAGGTAGTTGTTCCTGCCCCCCAGCAGCCAAGTGATATGCCGGGAAGGCAGTGTGAAGTCCAGGGAGAGGAGAGCAGTGTCCTCCCTCCCCAGCGGCAGCGTGATTTTTTGGGAATTGGGAGCCCAGTCTCCATTCCCCAGCGGCAGTATGATGCTTTGGGAATTGGGAGCCCAGTCTCCATTCCCCAGCGGCAGTATGATGCTTTGGGAATTGGGAGCCCAGTCTCCATTCCCCAGCGGCAGCACAGATTATTGGGAATTGGGAGCCCCGTCTCCATTCCCCAGCGGCAGAGTGTCCTTCCGGGAATAGAGAGCCCAGTCTCCTTTCCCCAGCAGCAGGACTCTGTATTGGGAGCAGAGACAGTCGGTCTCCCTCCCCCACAGCTGGAAGTATGTATGGGAGAGGAGCTTGTTACCCCCTCTCCCCAGCGGCAGCTTAATGTACAAAGGGGAGACAGTAAGCCCCACAACCGTGCAGATGGGACCGTAGTCTCTACACTGCCAGCACAGAGGGTAGGGACGGTCGGTCCTGCCCCCCAGCGACAGGGCTGTTTAGCCAAAGGGGAGACAGTCGGTCTCCCCCTCCAGCAGCAGAGATGGGTAACCAAAGGGGAGACGGTCGGTCTCCAGCAGCAGGACTGTGCATCTAAAGGGGAGACAGTCAGTCTCCAGCAGCAGCAGCAGAGCGGTGTATTTAAAGGGGAGACAGTCAGTCTCCAGCAGCAGCAGCAGAGCGGTGTATTTAAAGGGGAGACAGTCGGTCTCCCCCTCCAACAACCAGGCTTCCACCAGGCTACCCTCCCAGTAGCGCTGGCAACAGGGCAGAGTGCCGCTGGTCTCTGCCCACGCAGCAACCCACCAAGTCAGCGTACCCGTACCCAGCACAGCCGTGGTGAGGCACCTGGACATGGACAAGCTTCCCCTTTACCCAGGTGTAGTAACCATTTATTGTGGGTGGGCTGTGCTGTTTATTATTTGTTGTGGGTGGGCTGCTGGACTAACAAGGGCACTGACCGGCAGGAGGTCAGATACCCTGTTAGTCTGTTTGGAAAAGGGGAGAGATGTGACGAGACCAATCTCGCCACATTGCATTGGAGAAGCCTGGTTGCTCGCCTGCTGCCTTTGGACTATGGCCCCTTTTAAAAGACTTTATTTTTGCATGCAGAAAAGCTGTATTCGTGCTTTTCTGCCGGTTGTTCGGTAGTTTCAATCTACCGAACAACCGTACGAATGACTGGACCACCTGGGAGCTGGAGTGTGCCGGCAATTAACCTCCCTGAAGCTGCGGTTAACCGCAGCTTAATTGATGGACGCTGGGTGGCCGCCGTTCGTATCCCGAACACGAGGTCGCGGCCATTTTAAACCATACGAATGAACAGCGGTGTTCGCCTCTATTTTTATGGAACTAAAATCGGACACAGTTTTGCGCGAACACCGCTGAAGCCGCCGACCTCCCTTCTCGTTCGGTGAAAGCACACGAATGACCCGGTGTTCGGTATTTTTGTGTGAATATCTTATACCCCAGATAGGAATCCCATGGAGCCCATTCGTATGAAACTGACTGTAAAGACTTTGGCTCCATGGCGATTGAACTGTATTCGTGTAGTCTGAGTGCCATTCACCTAATAATGTGCACTCAGACCTGAGCTATCTGGGGATGTGTTACATGCCTGTGTTTAATGTAGTAAATGTTACTTTGTGCATTTTAAAGTATAATGCTGTTTTGTGTTCCCACGTGTGTAATGGAGTTTTGCCTTTGTCTTGGGAGATAATTGAGTTACTTCCCAATTATCTCCCAGGGCAGAGGGGAGGAAGCCAGGATGCATTGTGGGAATATACTGTGACTGTGTGTCCTTTTTGTATACTTGTCTGTCCCTTGTCACAGTCTCCCATTTGGTCCCCTAGGGGAGTGTCCACCAGGTGGGAGACCTGCATAAAAGCTGGGCAGGTAGCCCTCATTAAACAGACCACTGCTTGACCCTCAACACGGAGCCTTGTCTCGTCTTTGGGGGGATTTACTGTATGCTGCTAAGGACTGATTGCCAGGAGTGTAAGCCGCTTGGAAGCTTTTCCTGTTCGCCTGCTAGCAGCTATTCGTATGGTTCCTGTTCGCTTATTTGAAGTGCTACCTTATTCCCTTGTATGCCGTTCGGGAGTTTGGAGCATTCACTTATTGGCGGTTCGTGAGTTTTGGTGATTATTCAGTAGCTGTGCCTGTCTCTGAAAGGGGGATTATCGTCTAAGCGTTTTTTTCCCCTTTTATGCAAAACGGTCCGTTACAGGGGGGAAAAGTAAAATATGACGTGTCGTAACAGAAATGGCATCTCAGCCCAATAAGCATGGAAGTAGGCCTGATTATTACCAGAGCTAGAGGCAACCGCATCATACATGGTATTGTAGACTCAGCCTGTATGTCAGTGGGAAAAATAAGTGCATGTAACAGAACATATAGTTAAAAACTAAATGGTAATACCCCACTGGTATGAGGAGCGAGCTGGGCAAGGACCTTAAAGGTAGCATTCTGAAGTGTAGCCTTTCAGATCTCTCATTGGCGTAGGAGGGGGTGAACTCCATTACAGAAGGGTCCGGGTGTGCCAGTCCTGAGCCAGCCACTTTCAGTGGCCCAATTACTCAGATGAGTTTCCAGTTCAGCATAGCTTGGTAAGCTGTGTCAATAATGGGTAAATATAAGTAGCATGTGTATTTCCCAATCCTACAGGAATCCGTTCGATTGGAGGGGTTGCAACAGTGGCTGTAGTGATCTGCACCGTTTGATAGTGCTGCAGGTGAGATCCAGGAACAGCGTCAGAGTGGAGCCCTAAAAATGTCTTTCCTCAAGTGGTCCAGAGAATAAGGGCATTATTCTGCAGGGTCTGGAATCTGATAATCAAGTCTGCGTGAGCAGCCACAAGTGCTGTAGGGTGCTTTGGCAAATGGAACAAGCCATCCAGTTTCACCGCCTTGGCGGTAACCGTGTGCTAAACAGCCGTCAGACATAATGGGCTAAGTCTGAGAGGCCTGCCTCATCTAGAATACCGCAGATTTTCAAGTTGTAACGCCTCTTCTGGTCCTCCATAGCATCTACCTTGTTAGTGAAAACCATTCGTACTTTTTGCGATTTTATGTTCCGTGGTTATTGTGGAATCTTGTGTTCTCGAGGTGGTCTTCCGAATGGTGATCCACCTTTGATGGTGGTCTTGAAGAAGGCCATCTCCGCTGCAATATTTGGTCATAGCTCTGTTTACATAGCTTTTAGCTGGATCGTGGTAACCAAATCACCACCATCAGTTTGCTTACCAAGGGGTCTCAGCGGTGGACCAATTGAAGTCCCTGTCCCGGGGTTGAATGGGATATCCTCCGAGGAATAGGAGGACTAATCCTCTTCCTGCGCCATCTTATCCCATGTGGACCTCTGAAACCTCTGCAGGAGTTCACCGATATCACGGCTCACTGGGCCCTTATAAACCTTCGGTGTTTTTTTGTTCTTCCTTCCCATTCTGCTTTCCCATCACTGATGAGTAGTAGTTTGTTTGCTAATTTTAGCCAGCTAGGCTTGAAGCTCGAGTGGATAAGTCTACTCTGCTGCTCAGCTATATATATATATATATATATCTCTCTCTATATATATATATATATACATACACACACACACACACACACACACACTTTTTATCTCATGCACACACCAATGATAATGCGGAAACATAGATGGTCAGGTTAGCAGTGAGCACACTTTCTCTTTTCTCAGCTCTAGCTCCATCCTATCTTTAATCTATACTTCTGTTTACCTTTCTTATTATTAGAAAGAAAAAATTGGTTCATCTTTCAACTGTGTAACTGTGACAAGAGATTTCCAAAAGGTAGATCCTCAGATGTTGTAGACCTACAACTCCTATGATGCTTTCCATGACTTTAGAATGAAACCGCATCATGGAAACTGTAGTTTTAAAACATCTGGGGATTTACCTTTTGGGAAACCCTTGTCTATACAGATGTTTAAATGGCAATTGGATAAATACATGCAAAAAAATAAGACACAGGAATGTAAAATTTAATTAGTGTAGTTATAGCTTCTTGATCCAAGGAGATATCTGACTGTCATTCTGAGGTCAAGAAGGAATTTTTTCATAGTTGGTTGCACAAATATAGTGTACACAAGTATAGATTCTGATAAAAACCACCTCTTCAGGTAAAGAATTTCACAGCCTTATTGTTCTTACTGTAGAAAACACTTTAATTTCACCTAGACTAAATCTCCTTTCTTCAAGTCTAAATGTGTGATCTCGTGTCCTATTTATGAATAGATTTCCACACAATGGTTTGTATTGACCCAGAATATATTTGCATAATGCTATCATATCCTCTCTAAGGCGCCGTTTATCCAAACTAAAGAGATTTAAATTTGTTAACCTCTCTTCATAACTAAAATGCTCCATTCCTTTAATCAATTTTGTAGCCTGCCTCTGCACTTTTTCTAGTGCCATAATATCCTTCTTATACATGACAATACCTTACTGGCCTTAGCAAGCGCCGATTGACATTGCTTATTGTTGCCTAGTTTATTATCTATAATACTTCCCAAATACTTCTCATTTGTTGTTATCTCTAATTCACTACCATAAGTAAGTTGCTTGAGTACCCTGAAATGCATAACTTTGCATTTTTCCACATTAAATTTCACTTGCCATTTGAGTACATAGTCCACCAATCTATCTAAATCCCTCTGCAGCAAAGCAATATCCTGCTCACATTGTATTATTTTACAGAGTTTTATGTCATCTGCAAACATTGAAACACGGCTTTCAATGCCTATTTCTAGATCATTTATAAATATGTTAAATAGAAGTGGTCCCAGAACCCTGTTGTTCAGCTTGAAAAGTTACAATTTATGGCAACTCTCTGTAATCTATTTTTAAGCCATTGTTCTACCCAAGAACAAGAATTTTCATCTTGACCAATTTCTTTTAGTTTGAATAAAAGCAAGAGGATATTGTCCAGTACTGGTACAGTCCAAAAGTCAGCTACGTCACCAAATCCGGGGTCTCTTTTTTGTCCCATAGTAAAGCAGATAAAGACAGAGAGGGTGGTGCAGCGCCTGGAATGTCCTTGTATAACCATAAAAAGAGGAGAAATAGGAATTTGATAGGGAAGTACGTAAAAAATATAGTAAGGTGAGGGTAAATAAAATGATATGCACTCACACTTTATAGGAGCTTAGGTGCAGCTCCAACTTATACGCTTGGGCGGAATAATTCCCGTCTGAGGTTGAGTACAGACTCTATAGGAGGTTCTTGTGGATGCAGCTTCACTTGCAGATATGTAGAAGCAGCTAGGCACTCTAGGTACGTGGCAGCTGGTGTGGTTGCAGAGGTTGCTTCATAGGGCAAAATATTTGTTTTCACCATATTAAGCAGATGCTGTTGGGTTGATTTTTTTTTTACCTTGTGGAGAATGTCTGCTAGGTGCTGGGGAAAACGTTTTCTCTCCAGTATGCTCAAAGTTGGAAGTACTAGTGCACCCGGGTGGACAAAGGTAGAATGTACGTACAAGCTTCACTGTGAAAATAAAAGCAATCACTGCACTTGGTGGCAAAATGGTGCTCTGCTTTTCCAGTTTTCAGCATTTAAATCCCAGTACAGCTGCAAAGCCCACCAGCTCTCTTCTATAAAGCCTTTCTGCCAACTGCTCACACACAGGTCAAGTGAGCCTTCTTTTAGAAACACCTAAGTTTTCCACCACCCACCTCCCCATATGGATAGCGGCAGTACTAATGTAGATTTTGCTTTGGCAGTTTTGGATGGGTAGGAATCACTTTAAGTACCTTCTCTCTTTGGTATATGATCCAGCACAACCCTCAAGACACTGTGTCTGCCTTTCGCTTTTGGAGGCAGGTTGTAAGTATTTTGTTCCATTCTTATTTTATTTACCTGCGGCAGTGGAGGCTCATGGGCTACCTCCTGTGGCCAGGGCCAGATTAAGAGCCCAGTGGGCCTGGTGCTGACAATTATGAGGGGCCTAATTACAGAATCATATCGACCAAAAACAGTAAAACACTCCCAAGCATCATGTATCTGATGGAGATGGAGATGGTGCTGGAGAGAAAGAAAACAGCAGCTATAAGAAAACACATACCCTAGGCTAATCTCTCTCTAATTTATGTTTTCATCTTTCAAGTAATCCATAACCCCTAACAGCAGTGTCCAGTCAAGCAGGAAGTCAATGGGCATGGTAAAAGGGTGTGCCATTGACACAAATCACGTAACCTGCCAAAAGGGGCGAACATGCCCAAAAAAAGGACATGTCTGCTCAAAGAATTAGAAGGCCACCCTGGCATGAATGCATGTCAGACTGCCTGCCAATCATGCAGCTAGCCAACTAAGGGCATACTATGCAGACAGCACCCTGAGCTTGGCATAAATGCATCTAATGATGCGCTCACTCAACGCTTTCTAAGGACTGTCCCCTCGCACTCGCTGGTCCACTAGTCTCCTTACCTTCTTACTAGCAGGCAGAAGCTCCTGGTATATGGTCTGGGACAGAGAAAAGCTGTATGTAGTGAGTGTAGAAGAAAGGGAACATGCCACAGTGTTAGAGAGACCAAAGTCAGCATTACCTTAAAGGATCACTATAGGGTCAGGAACACAAACATGAATTCATGACCATATAGTGTTAACACCACCATCTAGCCCCCCTGGGCCCCTGATGCCTCCATAAATATAGCAAAATCCTACTATATTCAAGCCTGAAGCTGTAACTCTGCATGCTGTTAGGCTCATAAAAACAAGCAGTCTGCTGACATCATTAGAAGTGGTGGCCTGATCCAATCACAGTGCTTTCCCATAGGATTGGCTGAGACTGACAAAGAGGCAGATCAGGGTCAGAGCCAGCATGATTCAAACACAGCCCTGGCCAATCAGCATCTCCTTATATAGATTAATGTAATTAATGAATCTCTGAGGAAAGTTCAGTGTCTGCATGCAGAGGGAGGAGATACTGAATGTTTGGATGCATTTTAGGCAGCCATGACCCAGGGAGGATCTCTAACAGTCATCTAAGGAGTGGCCAGTGAAGTTATCACTAGGCTGTAATGTAAACACTGCATTTTCTCTGAAAAGACAGTGTTTACAGCAAAAAGCCTGAAGGTAATGATTCTACTCACCAGAACAAATTCAATAAGCTGTAGTTGTTCTGGTGACTCTAGTGTCCCTTTAACTATATTCATTGTCAGCCAGTCCACACAAGTTTTGTTCCCATACATCCCTCTTAAGTTTCCATACTTAAGTAAGAGTATGTGAAAAGTAGTTAGGGTTGCCACCTTTCTTGGAAAAACATACCGGCCTTACTAATTTGCATAATTAAATATGTATGGGTGACATCACATGATGTAAATCACAAGGAGTGACATAAGAGAAAATGCTGTAAAATCACCAAAAAACTACTTAGTTTAAATTCTGCTGTATAGATGGATTCCTCCCAGTGCCCCCATGTCTCCCAGTGCCCTCATGACTCAGTGCCCCCATGTGTCGATTACTCCAGGTCTCAGTGTTCCTATGTATCAGTGTCTCAGTGCCCCATGTCTCCCAGTGTCCCCTAATGTTGTGTCCCCAGGTCTCCCAGTGATCCTATGTATCCTATGTATCATGTCTCCCTGTGTCCCCATGTCTCCCTGTGTCCCCATGTCACTAGGACACTAGGAAGACGGGGAGACCTGGGGACACGGGGAGACCTAGGGACAAGGAGACACCAGTGACACTGGGAGACTAGGGGGACACATGGGGACAATGGGAAAATAGGGGACACCTGAAGACATGGGGACACAGACACCAGGGACAAAGATACTAGAGACACTGACTGGGGGACATGGGGACATTGAGACATGGGGGCACTGGGAGACATGGGGACACTGAGACACCAGGGCCACAGACACTAGGAACACTAGCTTGGGGGGCATTGTGACACTTGAGGCACTGAGAGACATTGAGGCAATAGGAGACATGGGGATAGTGAGACACTGGCAGACTGTGTGCACTGGCAGACTGTGGGCACTGGCAGACTGTGGGCACTGGGAGACTAGGGGTCACTGGGAGACTAGGGGGCACTGAGACACCAGGGACACTGGCTGGGAGACATGGGGACACTGTGTCCCCATGTGTCTGTGCCATAATGTCTCCCAATGTCCCTTAGTGTCTCAGTGTCTGCCATAATGTCTCCCAATGTCCCTTAGTGTCTCAGTGTCTGCCATAATATCTCCCAATGTCCCTTAGTGTCTCAGTGTCTGCCATAATGTCTCCCAATGTCCCTTAGTGTCTCAGTGTCCCCATGTCTCCCAGTGTCCCTTAGTGTCTCAGTGTCTGCCATAATGTCTCCCAATGTCCCTTAGAGTCTCAGTGTCCCCATGTCTCCCAGTGTCTGCCATAATGTCTCCCAGTGCCCCTTAGTGTCTCAGTGTATGTCTCCTTGCAGCCTTTTCCCCCATCCCGTACTTCCCTGAGCTGTAGGCTGTTTCTGCAGGGTGGGAGTTGCTGTCTGGACTCTCTGTAGCTGCACCCCTGCAGATCAGTGAGTATAGATAGGCAGGGAGGGATATGCTGGAACTTCCTATCCCTGCCTGTCTCCACATACAGTGACCCCTACTGGCCAGTGCTGGTATTGCATATTAATCTCTTGTTTAAACTGAGAAAAATACCAGCATTTATATTGCCAGTATCACTGCACTATTGGCACTAGTCAGGCAGCCTCAAATACTGGCTGTGCCAATAAAATAAAAGCCAGGTGGAATCCCTAAGAGTAGTGTGTAAAAAAAAAAATGAAAAAAAAAAAAATTTTTTTTTTTTTAAATCAATGGGCCTATTCCATGGGCCTGGGCCTGGAGCTGCAGCTCCATCAGCCCCTATGTTAATCCGGCCCTGCCTGTGGCTCTGTGGCTTTATCTTGCTGGACGCTAAGGTACCAGATAGCCCTGATCCTGAGATTCCTTACAAGAGTTTGTCACTGCCACTAAGCAGTATGTGTTGGCATTTTGTGCATCAGTTAACTATGTCCTTCCTTGGCCATGTATTGGCTGATTGACACATTATAAATGTTTAAACATGCTTGGATTACGTTACACTTTTAAAGAAAAAGCTTTAAGACTGAACGCCAATGTAATATCTTGATTAACTCTCATATTTGGCATTGTTTCACTTGGGATGGGTATGCATATAAAATGTTATGTAATAATGCACAGTATACACTGTTTTATTGTGGGTGCATCTTGCATATATACAATAATTCAATACCAGAGTTTAGTTCAGCAACAAGGCTCTTGACGATTTGACATTCACATTCCGTTTGTTGTGGTGTGTTGACAAAAACTGAAATTTAGACCAAAATATCTGAATGAGAAAAAGGGTTGTGAGGGACATGTTTCCCCCAATTCAGCTATTTTTGGTCTTGTTTTTTTTTTTTGTACTCTAATAACAACTTATTCTTAACTGAATAAACCCAACATTGATTCAGAACATCTGCTTTAAAAATATTTACTTTCTTACTGATAGATTATCATACTAAAACATAAAATACACATAACATTTATTTGACATGGGTGTCTGTTATAGAGAATAAAAAAATAGCAAATTAACAACCTTTTTTTACTACTAATTAATTGTTAAAAAAAAAAAAAGAACCCTAGTCTGACAATAAGAATAACTTTGACTTGTAGTTTAAATATTTATTAAGTCAGTACTAACCCAATAAAATTAATTATGCTTGCACCAGCAATATATTTAACATAAAAAAAAAGGTTTAAAAAGGATTGTCACAGTGACTGGTATTTAGTGTACTTTTCAAATGTCCCATATTTTGTTGAATTGTTTTGTGACCCAAAATCCTAATAAAAAAAAAATCTTAAGAACATTTGAGCTAGCCCTATAATTTTACCATATTCTTTGATTGTACTTAGACTCAAGCCTCCTCTGTGAAGTGTATAGGAGTCTAAAATAGCATTGGGTAGACACTCTTAAGTTCTTTCTATACAATCAACGCCAATCGTATTTTCAGGACACAGGCAAGATCGGCCACCAGGAGTTGCCAAACAAAGGTGAGTGCAGCCTCCATTGTTTAGAGCACAGTAGTTTTGTCCTGCAAAACAGATTTTAATAGGTTCACAAATGCAACATTTAATGAAACTTATTCGCTGTTTAAAACATGACAAAAATCTGAATAAAATTCACACTACTAAAATGCTAATTTATTATATATATATATATTTAAATATTTTTTTTATTGTACAAAAAACAAATGTAAAAAAAATAATATAGAGGTATTTACTAGAAACTCTTGTACTGTACTAATATCCTCTTAAAATTACATTTTTGGATGTGTTTACCTGTATCTATTCTGTTCAACTACTAACACATTTCATTTATGATGATTAGAGCTTAGACTATAGAAGCAAAACTGTGATTATCTATTTATATGGTTTAGTGATGACACTTTAATGATTTATCTTACAGGGTATTAAATTGTTAATTAAAACAATAACTCATAAAGCACTTCATCTTGCTGAAGTGCCTCAGGAGTTTACTTGTCATTATTTTATTTTATAAATGTGGCAATTTTGTATGTGAAAACTTTATAACCTCCAACGATAACACCTCCTGGCTGTTAAAGGGACACTATAGTCACCAAACAACTTTAGTTTAAAAGAGCACTGTTTTCCTGGCACTATAGGGTCATTCGGTTCTCCCCTCCCTTTCTCCAGCGCCCTTTCTCCAGCGCCGGGCTCCCTCTGTGCTGGGGAACTATCCACCCCCTGCCGACAGCAAGAGCGCGCATTCAAACAGCCCATACAAAAGCATTACTCAATGTTTTCCTATGGACGTCCAGCGTCTTCTCACTGTGATTTGCGGAAGCGCCTCTAGCGGCTGTCAGTGAGACAGCCACTAGAGGCTGGATTAACCCTCAGTGTTTCTCTGAAACTGCTATGTTTTCAGCTGCAGGTTTAAAACTAGAGGGACCTGGACTATAGTAGTCCTTTAATGAAGCAGTTTATGTGTATGGATTTCACTGCTCAATTATCTGTCATTTAGAAGTTAAGTCGCATTTGTTTCTGTTAATGCAGGCCTACCCACAAAACCCCTGGCTGTGACTCAGCCCGCATAAAAAATTTTCATTTTCAATGACATGTTAACTTGTTACAGAAGTTTATCTCTCTTGCTCTGTAAATTGCACTTTAATCACACACAGGAGGCTTCAGCAGGTCCTAGAAGTCTATTATAACCTTGCAGGAGATAAGCAATTCTAAATAAACAGAATGTGGAATACAGGAAGTTTAAAGATTAGATGTCTCCTTAAAATAAGTGTTTAGGAAGGCTTTGCAAGTCACATGCACAGGGTGACTAGAGCTGTATAAACAAATGATTGAAATAGCAGAGAATCGAACAGTTAGACTGCAGGGCCATGACCTATATACCAAAACTGCTTCATTAAGCTTTAGTTGTTTTGGTGACTATAGTGTCCCTTTAAAGGGACACTCCAAGGCAAAATCAGTGCATTACAGGGGGTATGGTGCCAAAAGGGCACTGGTGCCCCCCACTGTCAGTAGTCAAAGCATGTGCTAACAATTTGAATTTTTACCAGAGTGCTCTCAGCAAAAGAGCTCAGCCCTGCTGTGTCAGGCTCAACTCAATGCAGAGAGCTTCTGGACTGGCTACTTATACTGGGTAGAGTCAGGGCACCATAACCACTGCTGCACACTCTAGTGGTTATGGTGCCTGAAGTGTTATTTTAACCAGATAACCAGGAAGCTTCTTGTCCTCACTTGCCTTGAGTGCTCAATATTTATTAATAATGTATTTTTACCTTGAGGACACTGGGAATAGGCAGTCGTAATGCCATAGAGACGAGATCTTTTGTGAGGGTGAAAATTATCATTCTCTTTGGATATAGTGCGATCAACAGCTATAACTGCATCTCTAAAAAAAAAAAAAGCAGAGATACATAGTCAACACTATATATTTCATAGTAAAACTTTCAAAATAAATAATTTACAACATACAGACAAGCCCACAAAATGCAAACACAGATCATTGGCCACTAGATGTCACTGTTGAACTCATTACAATACCAAACATTTTCAACTTGGGTATTTAAATAAAATAAAAAGAAGGATTATAAGGAATTTCAAATTTTAGTAAAAACATAGCATGTGGAAAAAGGCCTTGTCTTGGCTATTAGTCCTGCTTGGTTTTAAATCATTTACCTTAAGCCTAATTCCCCTGTCAGCTCCGCAAAATTTCTAGTTTTATAAAGTGTTAACTTGTCATTGTACCACAGGCATACATTGTACTCTACAGGTACACATTCAGTTACCATCTACATATGTATTGCACCCTTGAATTCTTAAAAAGATGCAGAATAGTGATTTGTGTAAAAATGAATATGTATTTATAAACATTTATCCCACAATATAAGAATTTAAAGGAAAATCTGAGACATATACCATCTGTTTAGGTAACTAACAGATTGAATTAATAAATGGTTGCCTGCACAACTGAAATGCTTGGTTTGTACATATTTTTCCTGCATGACTTCATTATCTTTGCATGGATTTACAAAGGTGCAATGATCAGCAAAATATCAATGCTTCTAGCGAAAAAATCTTGCTGTGTAAAACTACCAAAGAATTTGCACCTCTTCTGTCTCGGTGAAAGTATCAATTTGATCAAATGATAAACATATGAAATATAATGTATGCAATGTAAAATAGCATTAAAAATGGAGGATATTCACTGTTGTGTTTTTTGTTTTTTGTATTTTATGTACGGGCAAGAACTGCCCCCCCAATATTGAAACCGACACAGAGCGGCAAAAAACCAATGTCTCCTAACCTATAAAACATTTAACCACTGTTGTATGCCAAGTAAAAATGCCTTGTATTCGGCCCCTGCGTGAGCCGCTGTATTTTGCTATGCCGCATTCAGTGTCGACTCAAAAATAAAGAAATAAAAAAAATAAATTAAAAAAAATGGAGGATATTGGGAGGCCTTTAGTAATATTAAAGGGACACTATAGTCACCAGAACAACTACAGCTTATTGAATTTGTTCTGGTGAGTAGAATCATTACCTTCAGGCTTTTTGCTGTGAACACTGTCTTATTAGAGAAAATGCAGTGTTTACATTACAGCCTAGTGATAACTTTACTGGCCACTCCTCAGATAGCTGTTAGAGATCCTTCCTGGGGCATGGCTGCCTAAAATGCATCCATTCATTCAGTATCTCCTCCCTCTGCATGCAGACACTGAACTTTCCTCATAGAGATTCATTGATTCAATTCAGCTCTATGAAGAGATGCTGATTGGCCAGGACTGTGTTTGAATGATGCTGGCTCTGCCCCTGATCTGCCTCTTTGTCAGTCTCAGCCAATCCTATCGGGAAGCACTGGGATTGGATCAAGCTACCACTTCTGATGATGTCAGCAAACTGCTTGTTTTTTTTTTTTTTTAGGCAAACAGCATGCACAGTTACAGCTTCTGGCTTGAATACAGTAAGATTTTGCTATATTTATGGAGGCATGAGGGGCCCAGGGGGGCTAGATGGTGATTTTAACACTATAGGGTCAGGAATACATGTTTGTGTTCCTGACCCTATAGTGATCCTTTAAAGGGAAACTATAGTCACCACAGCCACTACATCAATATCCTCCTCGACTTCCACAAAGTTTTTAAACGCTCCATAGGGTATTTTGGGCTTATCCTCTTGCACTATAGTTACTGTCGGTGTCCTTTTGGGAGTTTGTCATTTGCTCCTTTTCAGCACGAACTCCTGGACTTCCGACATGGTTTGTGCAAGAATCTCTGTCGATGCGTTCTCGCTATAGAAAGACAAACAAAATTGTAATTCTAAATAAAGAAACAGATTCTTCCCTTCGAAATTAATTTCTTTCTTGTTCGCGCTGATCAGAAGCACCTTCTGTTTGGTA